GTGTAAGAAAATGATAACCATTTCTAGATGTTTTATGATTTTATTAATTATTACTTTATATTTTTGGTTAAACGCTGACAAAACTTTTTAAAGTGCTTAATAAGAGTCTTTCTAATTAAATTAACGTGGATAGAATCATATAATATGATCTTACTTTAGTTGAAATTAAATGTATATAGTTAACGTTAATTTTATTTCTCTTTTTTCTAGGTTTAAAAATGAAACTTGCGTGTTTTGTACTCCTGATTGTTTTGATTTGTTTTAAAGGTATAAAAATTAAGTAATTTAATAATTAAACGTTTAAATATTTACTAAGTTTAAATATTTATAGTCGAAGGACATCACGAGAAGGATACTTGTCCGGATGAAGTCAAATGCGACAATGCGTGCACCGAACACGGAGCTGTTTGTGGTCGTTGTGTCAACTCGGACAATTCATGTCTGTGTTTAAAAACTAAAGAAGAATGTAAAAAACAAGACTAATTTCCATTTTCTCTTGTTAAATTTTTGTTGATGAACAAATAAAATTACTTAAAAAATCATTCGTTCTGATGAAGATTATTTAATTTTCTACATTAAACAGATATATTCAATAATGTATTTTGTTTTCGAGAATACGCTTTAAATCTTAAAAAAATGACAAAGAAAATACTTTTATGTATTATCTAATTAGCCTACATCTAACTACTCTAACGTTACAATAATTGATTAAAATATTATCTTAAAAGTTGTAAGATTGATTTGAAACAGATTAAATCACCTGATTCCATTTTTAAAATGCTAAGATACATGTAATTCAGTGGCGCCTTATCCTATGGGAAAAAAATGCAATTGCCTAGGGCTAAACAATTGCACTAAACTCATTTGTTATAAGAAAATATTTCCCCCCAAAAAAATTCCCCGATGAAAAATGTATGAAGTAAACACTGTACTAATTCAAATTTTGTCTGAGCCACAATGAAGCTATAACACGCCACCAATATAATTGTTTAAAAAATTCGCAATGCCACTGTTTCGTTCTACCGAATTAATTAAAAAAAATTTATCGCATACTTAATTAAACTTGTTCATTAATTTCCGGATTAAAATGTTAATAACAACATTGTAAATATAGTTTTAATATCCTGTTGAATTATTCAAACTTCCTTTTTAAGGGAAGGAATTAACGTAAACAAATCTCGACAAAGGAAATTTATTGTTTTCAAGTCCCACGACAGAAAGTTTAATTTCACATTATTGATAAATAGGAATGTATCTTTTAAGATTTTAACTTATGAGAACGTTTTTTAAATGGCAAATTCTCCCAAAAAAATTATCATCAAAATATTTTAACTTTATTTGTTGTATGCAATTACTTCGCTTAAGAATATAGTTTATAATTTAACTTATGATGATGATGTGATGTTAAGTTATGTATATCTCTATATTATACATGTTTANATTAAAAACGCATTTAGAGAAGTCTACGGTTTTTACCGGCTTATCGAATAAACGATACGAGTGGACCCTAGACCATCACTGACGCGCAATTGACTGATTGCTCCTAGATGTCGGCTTCTTACAGGAACACGGCTTCCCTATCATTAAATGTCACGGCACGACACTGGTAGGATCTCCCCAAAGGACTTTCTACGGAAAACTGGGTACCTGTTTAAGTGTTAGACACGCGAAGAAAACTCGGAATACTTCACGCGGCCAATCCATTAGTGAGGCGCGAAGCCACGATCAACTGCCAAAGTTCAGTAGTTTAGTCACTGGTTTTATCTACTCGGCCACTGGTGGACCCGGAAAAAAATGGATAAAGAAACATTGTTAACCGGAAAAGAAATTGACTAAAAAAGACATAAAATCATTATAACATTAATAGATGAATTTTTTTTCTTTTTTTTAGTAGAACAATATATTGTTATCAATTTTATTAATTTAGTCAATTTCTTATACGCAAATGTTCTTTGAGATTTATTCTTAACTTATTTATGGCACTGAGAGTTTTTCCATTTCTCGCCAATTTGTATTGTGTTTGCAAATTAGTCTTCCTCGATTCTAAGACAAAAAATTATAGTCGACTATGCAAGGATTTCTGATCTTGCGATTTTATCAACAGAACATAGAGAACTTTTTTGTGCGTTAAAAGTCCGCAAAAATTTGATTTAATAAATTTTTTATAATGTCTATGTCTATTTTTTAAACTTAACATATGTCAAAATTCATTTTTGAGAATGACATAACCCCTGTTTATAACACCATGTCTATAATAAATAATCTTTTTCTTTATTGAGTTTTCACTTTCTGATCTACTGTATACAGGTAACCCTCGTATAACACGGCACTTCTATAGNGAAATTTATTGTTTTCGAGTCCCACAAGAGAAAGTTTAATTTCACATTATTGATAAATAGGAACGTATCTTTTAAGATTTTAACTTATGAAAACATTTTTAAACTGCAAATTCTCTCAAAAAAATTATCATCAAAATATTTTAACTTTATTTGTTGTATGAAATTACTTCGCTTAAGAATATAGTTTATAATTTAACTTATGATGATGATGTGATGTTAAGTTATGTATATCTCTATATTATACATGTTTATAATATAAATAAATATGTTTTTAATTTAAAATGAATTTTCAATGTTAGTGATTCTAAAATTTCGAATTACACTTTCCTCCTGAATTTATAAATTGTGTTTTTATTAATAAAAAGAAACAATACATTTGATCGGGTGTAAAAGAAATAATATTTTCATAACTTAATTTGGGTCAAATTATATTTTAAACATTCTCTGATGCGTAAATCCAGTAAACCCATATTCAGTACAACTTTATTTTGCAGATTTCACGTAATCTTCAGGAAGTATAATATTCGTGTTATATGCAAATGATGCCATTTTCCATACAATATACCGTTTATATTTGAGATTGATAAAATAACGTCAGTTTAATGTATCTGTAGCACGGGAATCAATTGTAAGTATTATCGAAATAAAACAATTATTAATCTAAAAAATATAGATTTTAAGCTAAATAAACGCGCTTAAAAATATTCGTTTATTTTCTTTTATTTTATTAATTATTGATAAATTTAGTTGTCGATTATGGTTTAGTAATAATTAATAAATTATTATTTGAGCAGAAAAAAGTGAAAACATTTTCTTATTGGTTTTGTTATAAACTTTTAACATTATTTAAAGTTTCTGGTGATTTTTCAATGATTCTTATCTTGTGGATTATTGATAACTCTTTCTAATCTAAATAAATGTTAGGAATAGTATTTATTTGGTAAACGTTGACTCGTTTAATATTAGAGAGGTTGCGGNTATTGGGATAAAACATATTTACCATCATAAATGTTTTTTAAAAACGTTTTCAAAGAAATCGGGAAAAACATAGGATCTCGTAGCGATTCTTATCCTTATGGCAATTTTTTGGAACGTAACTACCGTGTTATACGGGGGTTACTTGTATATCCATATTTTTTCTATTTTGAAATGCCTAATCAAGTTTTTAAGGCTTGACAGTTATTTTTCATTGTCTAATTAGTAAAACGCAATAGGAAGGTATTAAAAAATAATAGTTTATGCTGATTATACGAAGTGATGTCATTCAGCCAGTTCACACCTGTTCGGCCGAACCGGTTGTTAAAAATATCTGTGGTCGCCTAACCGGTTGTTATTAAACAATGATGTGAGAAATATTTTATATAATTAATTTATAATTAGGTATTTTTTATCTTCTCATGTNGGTTTTGTTATAAACTTTTAACATTATTTAAAGTTTCTGGTGATTTTTCAATGATTCTTATCTTGTGGATTATTGATAACTCTTTCTAATCTAAATAAATGTTAGGAATAGTATTTATTTGGTAAACGTTGACTCGTTTAATATTAGAGAGGTTGCGGCCGACGTTTCCATCGAGAAAACGTGTACGTCGGACGTTCAGCGCCGCATTCCTGTAAGCCTAGAAGTTTGACAATAGAGTTTGGAACGTCGAGCATGATTCCACTGACGTTCCAAATGCCATTGTCAAACTTCTAGGCTTACAGGAATGCAGCGCTGAACGTCCGACGTACACGTTTTCTCGATGGAAACGTCGACCGCAACCTCTCTCTATTANAGGAGTCAAAGCAAATAACTTTGACACTAGTTATAGCAGTATATATGATGCCGACAGTACCGGCCCGAGGCAAGTTTTAGGATGGAGCGAGATCCTATTATGGCGCCCCTCTTGGTTGCCCTAATTTATACCCTTTAATTTTCTTTACCACTGAGGCGTCCCCTAGGACTTAGCGCCTGGAGCGGCTGCTCCGTTCGTCCTATGGTAGGGCCGGCTCTGGATGCCGAAAAGACTATATATTATTTTTAAAAAGTCGTATATAAAAGTAATAAAACAAAACAATAGAAAATCTAAGAAAGATGTTATTCCGGATATGATTAAGATAACAGAAAATTTCAAGTTATTTAAATTGAAATTCAGAATGATAAATATTGTAGCAAGTGAGAAAAAGAAATTTAAAATTTGCAAGAAATTTGCTAATTGCAGATCATTCCTAATCGAAAGTATTTCCTATTTTATGACCACATTTTTGAAAACCTTTTAATTAATTTGGATGCAACACCATTGGTTAACTTGTGATTAAAATTTTGTTTCTTTTGGAAAGCGAATCAGACATTCACAAATTAAAATCACACCATTGATTTTATGGATCTTTTGTACAGTATAACATTATTAGATTGGTTTTACATAATTTTTTTTAAAAATGTATCGATAAAAATAAAGATCTAATAGAAAAGTTTCTGATAAAAAAAATTAATGATTTTTATGAGGTTATTTTTTTTGAACATTTATTAGTCCTTTAGAATAAAAACAGAAAAAATTTTATTATTAAATGTATACTGTATTTCCAATATGGAATATTATAATTTAATTTGATATTCTAAAAGTTAATTGAAATACAATACTAATAAGATATAAAAAAATAGATTTCTTTTATAAACCAAATGACTTAGAAGATTGCAAACAGCACGATTCTAGCCATTTTTTGTGTAGACTATATTTAGGCCATCCTCTTAGTAAGATGTAGTCTACTAGAGACCAGCTGAGAAACGTAATCAGATATGTTGACTCATACAGATTGATGTAATCAATCTGTATGGATTATATTTACAATATAAATAAAAATTACAAAATATTTTATGTAACTGTACTTACTAAAATCCACTAAAAACTCGTTAGGCAACTCGTTGCTGGATTTTTTTTAACTTTCGTGGAGACATTTAAAACTGCGTGTAGCTTCATCTGTTATGATATTTTATCATGAAAACTTCTTAGATACAGTAATTAATTATTATAAATCGGCAAAAAGCTTCATTTTGAGGGTAGGGATGAGTTTTATAAAAAATAAAAAAAAATGTAAATGCTAATAACGAGTAAAATCATCATTAAGTCCGAGCTTACTCGAGATATGACATACTACCCCTATATTTCCTACTTTCTCGACCTTTAACCACTAAAATTTAATAGAATCAATCCTCCTAATACACAGACCTCCCTGCAAAATTTCAGAAATTTTTGACAAAAGGACAGGAATTGTTAAGATTCATAGCAAGTGAAATAATCGTGCTTCCCCACACACAGAAAAAAACTCCGAATTTTTCTTTGCATGAGTTTTTGCATGTTTCAAGGTTCCCTGAGTTCAAAACTGTAAAGATCTTGGGAGTCATTTTTTGATCGATCGCCATACTTTCCTTCATATATACAGGGTGTATCAGAATGACGTTTTATAAATTTGGGGCATTGTAGAGGATAAAATTTTGAACGTTTTGATATAAGGAACCTATAGCTGGAAATTTGAACTAAAGTGTCTACAGCGGTAGGAAGTGCTTGACCGCCCTTCACTTTGGTAGCTACCCTTCCGTCCATTGACGTCATGTTATTGCTGCGAATGGAAGACTGTGCACAAGTACAGTGTTCTGTACACACAACGCCTGTGTACAGTACAGGACACCTGTGTACAGGACGTTGTGTACTTAGTGCTTGTCGTCCTTCAGGTTACCCCTTGCATTCACTGGGCGCTGTGCTGTAAACACACAGCTAGTCAACGTGAATCCCTTGTGTATGCAACACCTGTAGGAACAGTTGATGAACTTTTGGAGCTCATCTTTACAGCATTTAATACCATCAGAGGGGAGCGTGGCATCTTACAGATAGTCGGACAAAACATGGTTCGTCGTTGCACATTATGTAACAAAGTTGGTGGTCGTCACATTGAACATTTACTCTAAAGTAGTGCAGCCACTGATTTGTTGTGTAGTTTGATTGTACTCTACTGTTTTGTCAATAAAACTTGTCATAAATACTGTATTCTGCTGTTTCATTCAGCATACCGACCGCATAGAACGTGCAAAATGCTGTAGAAACTTTATATCACATTTCCGGCTATAGGTTCCTTATATCAAAACGTTCAAAATTTCATCCTCTACAATCCCCCAAATTTTTAAAACGTCATTCTGATACATTCTGTATAATAGAGTCGGGAAAGTAATAACGTATCTCTCCATGATCTAGTCCTCCAGAGACGGATCCAAAAGAATCCAAGTTCAAGTCGTCCAGAGACGGATCCAAAAGAATCCAAATGGAAGGATAATTCAAAAATTGAAAATATTTGAATACTTATAAATACCTTTTTATTAACACCCGTGGTCGATTGTATTGGGATAAAACATATTTACCATCATAAATGTTTTTTAAAAACGTTTTCAAAGAAATCGGGAAAAACATAGGATCTCGTAGCGATTCTTATCCTTATAAAATTAACTTTATTTTTATTATAATATTTAAGACTACTTTTTATTTATAAAGAAATATTCTAAGTACATCATTTGTCGGAAAAAAAAGGCGAAAGGAACCACGCTAACTCGGGCCCCCATATAAGCTCTTGCTCTGCCCAGTGGTAATAAATCGGATCCAATACATCAGGGGCAAATCGAAGCCTCCGACAAACTGCTCATGAAAAATTTTTGAGGTTGTTCGTCCGGATTCGAATCCGGGTTCTAGTCAAACCTTATAGACTAAGGCTTTAATCGCTTCGGCCATCTGGCCGTCACCCTTTTACGTTTTATAATATATATTATATTCCTCGTTCCTATAATGCTTATATCAGATTATCAGATTGTNTTCTAGGCTTACAGGAATGCGGCGCTGAACGTCCGACGTACACGTTTTCTCGATGGAAACGTCGGCCGCAACCTCTCTAATGTCTATTTTTTATTTCAAAATTAAATCCGATTTTCCCTTTCGTCTGATAATATTGTAGAACAATAGCAGTAACCTTATTAATTATACTATTACTATCATTAAATATTTTGAGATTTTTTCATTTTAGCTTATATTTTCCTGATTACAGTTTTCTTTTTCGTATTATTTGTTAACGACTTTTACGAAATATTTTCGTATTTATCCATTTATCTTAAAAAATTTTCGAAGACATTAGAGATTTTTATATAGAGAAATTATAAAGTGCTGATTTTATATTATTCTCACAGTTTCATATTTGATCAAAATTTTCAATATTTGGATTTACCCAATTTTGTTGTTAAATGACAAAGAAATAATTAAAATGAAAAATGATTTTGTGAAGAATTAAGTTTTCATCATTTTGCTTTCTGTTTATTTATGTCTGAAAATTTGTGCATAAATCAAATTACGCAATGTAAATGAACAGTTTTCAATTATTTTACTATATTTTTAATTTTGTGGGAAAACGTTTTCGTTTTCATAATGAGGTAGTGAATAAACAACGATTTAAAAAAACGAAACAATGCACTAATCGATCAAAAATCAAATACCTTCGATTTAACGGAGAAGAAATTTCTGCCATAAAAGAAAAAATCAGAACCTTTTTTCTCCAATTTGCGAATAAAACACGCTAAAAGGTTGAATCAATAAATATAAATTATTCAATGTACAGTACATTATAATAATAATCATTTTTATTCATACTTGTACAATATAGCATTTTAATACATCCCGTACATTGTAAGTCCGTTATTAATGTGTTTTTAATACATTCAATTTAACGGACTATCGGCAGTAGCGACACCCTTTTCTCCAATCGATTCGTTAAATCGAGTCTACTGTATTATAATTATAAAATTGAGATACGATATTTATGCTAAAAATACATTATTATTATTTTATTTGATACGCGATGAGATGAAATGTATTACTGGTCTGAATACTTAAATGCGATGAAAGGAACATAAACTCTTTTATATTTACACTTTATACGCCTATTGTTTATAGTAAAACAATCCGTATTTATTCAATTTAATAATATAACGTTTTTTTCTTCATTTGTTTTTAAAATATATATACTGTACACGAAAGAGTTAAAATGGACGGTTAACGGCTATTTTCTGCATATTTTAACAATCTATTTAAAAAAAACATATCATTAGTACATTGAATCTTGACTTCTGGTCCGAGGATCCCCTAAGACTTAGGCTACTCACAGGGTCCAAGGACTGCTTTTATTTTACCAATTTAACAAAAAATAATAATGTAATAAATTAATTAATTACTGTATTTTTCGTCTCATAAACGGCAATGTTTTGCACCTAAAATTTATCTGAATGGATGCGTCCTGTAAACCGAATGCTAAATGTTGGATGTTATAGAAACCACCCAGCATCGAAGCTCTAAAAGCCATTATACCGGGGTTTACTGGGAAACTGGTGTGGAACAAAACCCCTATATTTTTTAGTCAGTGGATGGTCAGTAGGTTTTTTTTAGTCAAACTAGCGAGAACTTCAAGAATTTCGTAACAGATCCTACAGAGCGTGTCTGCACTGTCGAGGTCACTGTGAGTTGGCAATCACGCGCTAAACGGAGTTCGTTTCCTTTTCCAGTAAGCTTACCGCTTCTTATTCTCACGATAAATCAAACGAGTTAGTGTATCATACGCAATGCTATTTCTTTAATATTACACTTTAAACTGTAGATTCATGTACCGGTATTTATATTGTAATTCTTCAGTTTCTAACATAGAGTAACAACATTCAAACATAACCATTCGTCAGGGACACGATCTGTTAAAGGGTGGATTGTTTACCAGAACTGCCTCAAATGAACACGTAATTCGTGTGCTGGAGTGGACGGTGACGATAGATGCTGTTCTCATTTGTGAATTTTTTTCCGTTAATAATAATAATAATATATAATAATTAGTTACAATATTTACTTAATCTTTTGTATGTGTTTCAAGTAAGTGTTTCGTATACAATACAAGTAGCTTTGACTAATATTTACATAAAGCAAAATAAACTACAGAAAAACGTAATTTTATCATTGTTTATTTTTAAGCAATAAAAATAAATAAACAACAATTGATGTGTTTAATTTTCGGTAATCTCGAAAGAAATATTGTTGTCAAATAGTTTAAAAGTAAACTTGTTAATTTTCAAACATTTATTTTACAATTCGTTTAAGAATTGTAAAATAAAAGCTTAAGATTTTCATTCTGCTCCGGTTCCCCTAATGCTGATATCAGTTTTATCATAATAAATAAATAAATAACAAGCTCAATAATGAACTCATTACAGTGAGATGTGCCTGACAACTCGAAGCCTGCAATTTAAGGAAACACCGAAACTATCGTCGAAGGTGTATTGTTGCCTGACAATAGCCGTCCTCATATCGCTATCCGTATCCTTGAAACCCTTCGTAATATGCACTTTAAGTTGTTAGAAAAGGCTTTTTATAATCCTGATATTTTCCTTTGATCTATTGGCCTTTAGATCAGTCAAAAGCCCAATAAAATCTGTCAATTTATCTGAAAGAACTTAAGAAAACTACAACTATAGATATAGCTTGTCTCTCAGCCTAAAAGAATTTTTTCCTAAGAGAACTTTTGAGATGATAGACTAATTTTATTTGAGTAAAAAATAATGTTCTTATTATTGTAACAAATTTTCAATTACCAGTACATTGCTTATAATTATTGACTCACCCTTGTATGATAAAGTATACGATAATGAAGTATTTTATTAATACAAGTATCACAGAAGTTTTACGATATACTATTTGTTAATGTACAATACTGTACACACGTTTAATTACTAACAAGGAGAGTGCCAGACGTTTGAGTCGGAGACTCGAACGTCTGGCCCTCTCCTTTTTAGTAATTCGATCAGTAATGTATTTTCAGTAATCTTGGGACCAGTTGAGAATATTAAACGTACCAACATCCAATAAACTAAAAAAATTTGTTTTTGTCCTATTACATTATCCTTAGCTACAGGTAAAAAGTAACATTCTGTTTCTAAATGCAGTAAAATATATTTTATTTTCTATTTTAAATCAAAAAGTTTTATATTCCAAAATGAAAAATGTAGATCTAAATCTACAGGATTGCATCTTTCATTCTTGGAATGCAAAAAATCGTTTAAATCTGTTTATTGTTTATCGAAGAAGCTTAACATTCCTCGGATTAATTTATTAATATTCATTTCAACATTTAAACCTATTAAAATACATTAACAATTAATAACAATTATAATTTCTAATTCATTTAATATTGTAAATATATACAACATCTTATTAATAATATATACATATATTTTTTTTTTTAGAAATAAATTTTCCTCGACATTTTCGACAATGAAATTATCTATTCTTCTCGCCTTCTGCTTCCTCTGTTGCATAGGTAAGTTATGATTCCTAATAGAATATTTATTCTATTTCTTGTTGAATGGAGCCATATTTTTGTTTTAATCTTTAGTGGTTTATGGCATTCGTGGCTTTTGTGGCAGACGAGGTTGTCCACGAAATTCTACAGCTTGCAACAGTTATTGCAACGAAAGATACTCAAATGCTTGTGGACGCTGTGGCAAAGTTCTCCACCATTGCTGTTTCTGCAAAAAGCATCGCAGTTATTGCAATCGAACGTCTGATTTGCAGTATAATAAGTGAGACGTCTCCACACGGAATTTTCAACATTATTTTATAATTAATTCTTTCTGCGAACTTTTTAATACTCTGAAAATTAATTATATATAATAAGTAATTCATTATTTTCTTGGAAATAAAAATTATATAATTATGAAGGGTACAAACAAAATTATGGGTTGTGTAAAAGACAATAGAATTAACTTATTTTGTCCAAAACAATCTTGAATTACCGATAAACAAATTAATATATTAAATTTAAAGTCTGCAAAATAATTAAATAAAACCTTGTTAATAGAAAAATTTCTCATTTTGCCATTGAAAACACAACTTTGTAAGTGTTTAATTTAACAAGTACAGGCTTATTAATAATCAGAAGAAATAAAAAGAAAACAGTGGAAATGCTAGTTTCGGGTGGAGTAGCTTAAAGGTTAACTAAAAGACGTCAAGACAAAGTCACATCGGACATTCATGAACACTGTTCCAACCACATTCCTTATTGAAATTCGCATCGTGTTCTCCCGTCTATCGAAGTCATTTAGATTATGACAAGTGAAAAATAAAAAAATAAAAAGGGGGTAATTCTAAGAAATGTTAACGACTTAAGGATTTGTGCACACGACCCATGAATTATTCCATTATAAATGTCGATATTTTCCATCCTTGAATTTATACCTTTGAGAATCGGCAATAAGGTAAGTGAATCTTTAATTACTTAAAAGGGTCCTGTTTGATATAATGATTTCTTCGGAGTTATTCATAGATTTAATAGATAAGATTTGCTCAAACAAATTAAAAGAGTAAATTTATTCTTCTTATAACTTCTTTTTATATTTGACTAAAAAGAAGCACAAAAAAAAGTCAACTTCAACCAAAAAAGATCAGTTCAAAGCTTTAATTTAAATTTATTTAATTCNTATACAATTATTTTTTTTTTAGAAATAAATTTTCCTCGACATTTTCGACAATGAAATTATCTATTCTTCTCGCCTTCTGCTTCCTCTGTTGCATAGGTAAGTTATGATTCCTAATAGAATATTTATTCTATTTCTTGTTGAATGGAGCCATATTTTTGTTTTAATTTTTAGTGGTTTATGGCATTCGTGGCTTTTGTGGCAGACGAGGTTGTCCACGAAATTCTACAGCTTGCAACAGTTATTGCAACGAAAGATACTCAAATGCTTGTGGACGCTGTGGCAAAGTTCTCCACCATTGCTGTTTCTGCAAAAAGCATCGCAGTTATTGCAATCGAACGTCTGATTTGCAGTATAATAAGTGAGACGTCTCCACAATTGAAAACTAGTTGTAATAAACAATTTTATTATTCTTTATATAATTGATTTAATTTTTTTAAACAATTCTATATTTTCTTGTATATATCCATTTAAAAATATAATATAAATGACTTATTAAAAATAGATAAGAAAATGTGTAAAGAAACGACATCTAAAATTTTAATTAACAGCAAAGAAAATATTATTATCAGTTTAACATTACGAGAGAGAGTTTGTTGGCTCTTACACGCAACATGCCAAAATGCTATTGTATTCGATTAAATTGAAGTTTAACATTAATAGTTTAACACTAGTTAGCCAATAAAATATAAAATTAAAATAATATTACATGTAGGCTAGGTCTGTCGAGAAATATATAAGTAACGTTTCACAAATCCTTCAGTTTTTAATCAACGACTAAAGAAGAAAAGTACTATAGTAATATTTATTCGTTTTTAACTGTCGGAATTACTACTCGAAACTGTTACGAAAGGTCGAATTATTACGGATACTCGTTATTTAATTCTTTTTTTGTGATTTTTTTTTTTGCCATCAACGGGACCATACGATAATCAGATGCTTTGCAATCCGAACCACGTCGATTCTGACAAAAAATATATTAACATAACGGACAACTCTATCGTAACGAACAACTCTATCGTAGATTTACACCCACGAAAATAATGGTACATTAAGTTAACCCGTAAAGCGTCGGTTACGCGAAGAATTGGCATACAAGTCGAAACTGAATCCATCATCGTTTAGTACGAGTGGGTGTCCAATTTCCCACTCTATCCTCACCTGTAATGGCGACCGTATCTAGAATTGTACTTACACTCTTCCACCCCGAGAAGCGCTTAGCTCTCGCGACCGTCTTTAAAGATATCAGAGTTTTAAAAGAAAACTACGCTTATAAAAATAATTTTCTTAAATAAATCATACAAAGATAATGATTGTTTGTCTTCTGTTTTGGCCAGAAAGCGCCAACCTTCCCGCGGCAATAAATATACGTGCAGATTATTAGTGGTTGTTACAAACGGTAAGAAAACTGAACTCGTTTGCATTTGAAACGAAACCAGTTTAATAAATAAATTACCCTAATTGAGCTATGGTTTACAAAAAATTGGCTCAATCACTGTAACAAGCTTCTCCATATATGTCTAAAAGCATTACTCCTCGAAAAATCAGAGGAAAAAAATTGGGAACATCAAGCATTTGACAAACGTTGTTCGGTTAGAATATAAATTTTTTGCTGCTCAGTTGGCAATATAAAAACGAAGGAAACTATAAAATCTGTGTAGTTCAGAACGCAAAAAATGGCAAGATAGAGGCTAGGGCTGCAAGTACGCTATAAGATCCTCCAGAAACTACAAAATAGAATAGATAAACAGAAGATTGCTCAGGAATTCTGTTTGAACGGGTCTACCATCAGAACTTTCCTCAGACACTAAGAAGAAATCGGTTTTCTCGCGCCTGGATGCAGTAATGGCAGATCGTCAATGACTACTGCTAGGAAAGATCGAATTTTGCGTCGGCTTATCATGAAATACGATCTGGTACCTTTGTAGAAGCTGCAACTTATATATTTAGATTTAATATGCACAAATATCACATATGAGCTGCATTGTTATAGCAACATTATAAGGGCTTCCTGCATCCAACAAAAGTTTTCAATGAGAGAACAAGCATTTTTAAAACTTTTTTTACATGCTTACAGGCCTAAAAATCTTTTTAGTAAAACATTAAACAACAGGGAATATAAATTGATGTAAAATAACTATTAATTTTATGACTTTTCAAGTTTTTCACTAAAAATTTCCAAGTTTTTAAAATTATCTTTTGTTTCATTACGAATTTTTACTCTTTTCGTCATCTGTCACGACTGTTATTTCTAATTAGAGACATTATTATTAATCCAAAAATGCGCAATTTTAATATTTTGATAAATATAGAACCTTTAAACAATTAATATGAAATTTAATAAGTTTTATTAAATGTAAAAATTTATATACAATCGTGAAAATTCCATGTACAAAACTACAAATTTAACTGTTGAAGTAATTATAATTCTGCTTTAGACATATATCGACTGCAATGTGTGTTTTTGGTTAAAGTTTAACGTGAAAATGGTTTCCTCCCGTAGTGCATTATTCTGTAAAAATTTTTTACTAGTAGAACACGGTCGAAATATGAGTTGCCTTGTCCAGTCATTAAAGCGTAACAGTCTTTTATTAAATACGAGAACACTGCTTAATGTTTCGTTCTCATTTTGGCCACGATAGACGTCACTTTCGATGTTCTATGCAATTTAACCGAAGTGGAAGAACGAATCTCGAATGGTGTCGAGGTAAATTGGGAAGGAAAAATCTACTGGGATGGAAAGTCAACTCCCGTTGATTAAGTCATTTCCGAGTGGTAAAATCATATTCGGGTAAAAGATCACTTCCGTGTGGCAGTGTCACATTCGGCAGAAAGTCAAAATCCGTTCAAAAAGACCTCGGAAGAGAAGAGGTTTATGTTTTCCAGCAGCAAAACAATCTTTTTCACCAAGGCCTTTTACTCTTGACGGATTTTTCTACTATTTCTTCAGACTCCTTTGAGCGCGTTTGGAAATTGTAACTGGTTTAGAAAGGCGTTTAGAAAACCAAGGTGTTTAGAAAATGTGACCTAAATAACCAACCGCGTTTAAAAATCACTGTTAAGACGTCACCGGTTGTCCTGCGGTAGTCCTACTCATCGAAGTAACCACGGTGTCAAATCAGTTACTGCAAATCAATTCCATTGAATTACAAGATGGCGGACACATCGTATCGTGTGACGAATGTGGCCGTGATTTTAAAAATTTAGAGAAAATAAAACATTGTTTTGTTTCCGCATCACAAAGCGGCCAAGATCAAAAAGCCATGTCGTCCCAAATTTCGGATGAGGCAAGACAAGGAAAATGGCCAGCAAATGCTATGAAATTATTGATTTCGCAGTATAAACTAAACGAAGATAAATTTTTCTCCGATACTTGTTAAAAAATTCGACAAGTTCAGTTTCAACTTTTGAAAAACTTGTCGAATCATCATCATCGTCATATGATTCTGAATCGACATTCGAGAGCAATGATAGAATTAATATCATCTCCTCTCGACTTTCCGCCATGTTGAACACCACAAAATAACCAGCGTGTTTAAAAATGTGCTAGTCGCTCGGAATAACCGGCTATGACCGATGACGTCAGTCACCACTACCTCGGTGTTATCGGTTAGAATTTCCAAACGCGCCCTTTATGTCGAGTCCGTCTCACGTGACCGTGTCTCCACCGTCCATTTCGGAACTTCGGGACATCGCCGCTCCAGATAATGGACGAGAGACGAGGCGCTGTCGTCCAGAGTTATGACGACCCCCGTTTGACGTCGGGTGTATGCGACTTCCGCTGTCCGCTCTCCTCCGCATCTTTCGGAAGTACCCGTACTACAGGAGGCGTTTCTTCGGACCCAGCATGGGCCAAGGTATGCCACTTCCTCAATTCTTTGAAATGATCCATTCTGCAAAGAAAAATGAGCGAATGTTGTGAAAACAGAACTTACATTAATTAAGAAATACTGTATTACTATTCGAATCTGAATTGTAAATTTCTAATGCAAAAATGATTGTTTTAATTCCTTGAACATTATAATAAAATCTCTATTTATTATACTGTATATAATAATTTTAATCTTTTCAATGATTTTTAATATTTCGATAGAGAAATTACTCGTAGTTTACAAAAAATTTTACTACTCTGTTGACTGCGTAACACAAAACATCTGTGAAAATAGAGGAAACGAGTCGACGAATGAACTCGAATTATTCTAATTAATTAAGTCAGACGAATTTCATACGGAATATTAATTTATATACGTATGTAATATATAAACTATAGTGGGGAATAACAGATTTAAAGTATTTGCTAATTCCCATTTTGCTTTAACAATTCCATTAGAAAATTCACAATGAAAAGACTGAATCGGCTTCCCCAAAATAAACGAAAAGATCCGATTCCTCTGAAGAAAACCGATGAATTCTTATTGAAAACCACCGCCGCTAATTGCGATATTTTGCTTATCAAAGTTAAATAGTATTCAAATCTAGAAAGATCGTAGTCTAAACTTACTTAAACAATCGCTGCAAATAAAGAAAAGCTTGAAAAAACACTCGCAATAAATAATCGCACGAGTCAACAACAGATCCTCTCTCAACAACAAGAAAATTTTATTGTCTTAAAGTTAAAATACAATTTAAAGTTAAAAATTTGAATTTTGGGGTGAATTTTGTGATCTCTGTCTGTAAACAGTGGGATTTCAAGGGATTATTGCAGGAGTTTGTCTCTGGCCTTTTACTCCTCCTCACAGACACGAGCCATAATCAATTCACATAGAGTTAGGATATACTCGAACACTATCCTAAAATAAGGAGATAGTATGAGAAAAGATATAAAACGGGATTAGAATTAGAAGGAATTCCTGAACGTTGGATAATCGGTTCCGGTTCGCGCTTGGGTTGATGGTGAAGTCGGCCCGTCGTTTTCGGTTTTTCTTCATGTCGTTAATGCTCGAAAAAAATGATTTGCTTTTTGAATGGCTTATACGCTACTTAGCTTCAATTTTTTCGTGTAACATACGAGCGACTAAAAAAATAATAATAAAATATAAAAGTTAAGATATATTTTTACAAATGCAAAGTCAGTCAAGTATTGCGCGACGTTTCGTAATTTTTGGTTGGGTAATACAAAAGCATACCGAACGTACTGTACGTTATATAAAGGTTACGGCTCTCTAGGCGATGCGAATATCTTTGTTTAAATTAATAAAAGCTATTTTTTTGGAAGTATAGAACACGTCGTGTGCATCTTACTTCCGCCACTCGAACGAAATAAAAAAATGAAACTATTTTTTAGGAAGCCCAAAGGATACAGTAAAAACTTCTCTATCTCAAATGTCTGTAACTCAAATATTTCTTTAACTGGAAGAAAATGAAGCGCTTGTTGTGTCTCAATGGAATAGCTTAGGGATTTAATGTCTCCAACTTGAATTTTCTTACTTGAATTTTCTCCAAGTCGAAGGTTTTCATGGTCCCAGACACTGATTTATTATTACTTTCAACTTCCCCTACTCGAATTTTATTATTTATTCTATCCAAAGTGTCCTTAATTATTGGATTTTCATAAAATTTCAGACAGTTAGTTGTATCTACTGTCCAACAGAAATTTGCAGACAATGTCCAGTTCAAAGCGACAGGACTTCTCACTTTATTTCAACAAGATGTACCGGCAAAACTTCGATTCCATTAAAATTGCATTGAACATCTTGCTGAAAGACTGTTTAAAACAAAAGAAAACTATCGAAGATTCTTTATATAATGCAAGACAGATAAAAATAGAAATTTCAGAATTGGCATTTTTTACTCTATTGTTCTCTAACTTGAATTGTCTGTAACTCGAAGTTTTTCCTACCCCATGGATCTTCGAGTTAGAGAAGTTTTACTGTAGTTAGAAAAATGAGTTAAACTTATTGTCGGCCTTTTGTCTATTGTCGGAAAAAATTTGGACTAAATTTCTGTTATAAGCTTTATTATTTCGGACTTTTACAGCAGACAAATGCCACAATACTGTCGTTCGTCGTTACTTTTAACTTACAGGTAAAGTGTGAATAACAGTTTGTAAATAACTACGATGATTCGCTTTCGTTTGACTCACCCTAATATAATCTAGCAATAAAATTATTTTAAATATACATTTAGAACGATATTAAATTTACAAACAGAAAACTTTAAATAAACTAAACGAAACTAACCTTTCTCTAATTTTCGACAATAGTTTTTCCTCCCGAACTTTCGTCGTGACTTTCCCATCCTGCTTTTACGTTCATAGAAATCATTCAATGAATAGTTTATTCATCGTAGTTTATCTCCTTTCACATACAATAACAGAATTATTTAACAGTGAAATGATAGGAAAATCCCGTTTCCTATCATAAAAAGAGTAACACAAAATTTATTTGTTATTTACGGACACTTTTGTAAGCAAGTAAAATTTTTGAAAACGTTCAGATATAAAAAATTGCCAACAAATTTTTTTAATTGCGAGAAATTTCAATGTGTCCAGATGGAAACATCTAAAGAATAATAATGACAAGTGAATGATAAATGTCTAACTCAACTGTATTTCAATTGTCTCCTCAACGGATAGGAAATTACCAGCTGTTTCGAAGCGAAATTGTCAATCTCGCTTTGTTGTGTCTTTCGAAAGATACAATAGATCTACATTGTTCAAATATATCGATAAATTTATATAAATTTCATCACATGTCTAAAGAACTAATTTGTTTTAATAAAATAAACAATGATGAAGTAATTAAAACTTCCTAGAATATAAATTTTAATGATCTTCGCGACATGCGGTATAAAACAATATTTGAAATATATGTCACAACATTCGTGTTCTTCAATAAATAAATCTCAAAAGTATTGACATTCATTGACAATGATTATATTCGTTCTCATGTTCTTTCCAATTCACACAAGCTATATATACTATAATTACATCATTCGCCGCATTACGTTTCCAGTTTAATTAAAAGGTACTGTACTGTATGTTAGATACACTAATTTAGTTTTGTAAGTTTTAATATAATAATATCACATTTTTAAAATATTTATTAATATATACTTAAATATAAATTTACTTCTAAATATTTAACGACAAATATTAAAAATTTTCTTTTCTAAAATTCTAATTCTAGAATTCTAAAAATTGCTTAGAATCTATCACAAAAGCTCATAATATAGACAAACATTCATATAAAATTAAGATTAAGTTTCAAACATTTGCGTAGATTAAGCTTTTTGTGAATAAAATGTTATATTTCATTTCTATTTTCAAATTAAGTTAATCCTATTAATTAGTTTGGCAAAATAAAGCATCGTTCACAAATTATAAAAGTAATTGGAAAATATTTTAAAATTAATAACTAATCGTATATGGCATATGCTTTAACACGAAACTCGGACATTAATAAAATCAGTGGCGAGTAATAGCTTCACGGGGTCTAGGCAATTTGAATTAGGAATCCCCATGTACAGTGTTGACTTCACACACATTTTTGTGTGTGAAGTCAACACTGTACATGGAAAATATTTTCTTACAAACGATTGGCCCCAACGGTGGTGGGGGCCCCAGGAAATTGCCACTTTGTCCACAAGATAACGCGCCACTGAATTAAATATTCTATATAAATCTTAAATCAGAAATATTTGTAACATTAAAAAATTTAAAGAAACATTAAATTAAATTAATTAATTTGAAATTATAAATATAAAAAAATTAGAATGAAGAACAAATTTTTCATTCAAAACATTATAACTGAAAAATAAAATTAATTTGTCTTATGCTTTAGTAATTACAGTATCGTTTTTTCGATCTTTTAATTGGTTAATATCGGAAATATAAATAGAAATTAAATTAATTATTTTAATATTCTGTATTTCGCAGCGAATAGTTGTATCAATACTAAAACGATGAAATCCGTTGCATTCTTTTTCTTCTGTTTTCTCGTCTACAACTTGGGTGAGTTCCTATACTGTAAAGTATTGTTCTTCAATATTATTAATATAATCGTTCATTTTAGGAATGCAAGACTCGGAAGGTTTCCTTTATTGCTTTCGTCGAGGATGTCCACAAATGGATCAGAATATTTGTAACGAATGCTGTGTCGGAAATTTCTCGTATTTATGTGGCCGTTGTCTTATTCGTAATAGCCGTTTGTCGTTTTGCGTTTGTTCTGAAAGAGAATCATTTTGCAATCGATACGCATAAATTATGAGTTTACTGCTTTAGTTTTTAGAATATTTCAATAAAGTTATTCGAATTTTTCAAATTATGAATTAAAAATAATAAATATTTAAATTGAACAAAAACTGATTTTTGAGTTTGAATTTTATTATTTGTACGTATATTATNTGCTTCAAGGTAGTTTGTTTCCTTTTTCCTTAAGGTCCAAGTCTCTGCTCCATATAAAGTTGTTATAATTAATTTGAAATTATAAATATAAAAAAATTAGAATGAAGAACAAATTTTTCATTCAAAACATTATAACTGAAAAATAAAATTAATTTGTCTTATGCTTTAGTAATTACAGTATCGTTTTTTCGATCTTTTAATTGGTTAATATCGGAAATATAAATAGAAATTAAATTAATTATTTTAATATTCTGTATTTCGCAGCGAATAGTTGTATCAATACTAAAACGATGAAATCCGTTGCATTCTTTTTCTTCTGTTTTCTCGTCTACAACTTGGGTGAGTTCCTATACTGTAAAGTATTGTTCTTCAATATTATTAATATAATCGTTCATTTTAGGAATGCAAGACTCGGAAGGTTTCCTTTATTGCTTTCGTCGAGGATGTCCACAAATGGATCAGAATATTTGTAACGAATGCTGTGTCGGAAATTTCTCGTATTTATGTGGCCGTTGTCTTATTCGTAATAGCCGTTTGTCGTTTTGCGTTTGTTCTGAAAGAGAATCATTTTGCAATCGATACGCATAAATTATGAGTTTACTGCTTTAGTTTTTAGAATATTTCAATAAAGTTATTCGAATTTTTCAAATTATGAATTAAAAATAATAAATATTTAAATTGAACAAAAACTGATTTTTGAGTTTGAATTTTATTATTTGTACGTATATTATCTGTTACATAAGAGATGGAAGCCTTTCTTAATCGGAGAACGTATTCCATTTCGGAGAGGTCTCGTAAGACAACGCACTATTTTGAGTGTAAATTCAGCCTCGGTGCACAGAACTTAAGCAATGATGTAATTTTTAAGCAGACAGCCATAAAATTGTAGAAAAGGGCTTCTTGCGATCAGTACAATAAACATCCAATTCAGTAGAAAGGTGATTCGTATGCAAACATCAAGGAGAAGAGAGGGCACGCTACTTTCAATAAAGACTTTTCTTGTTTGATTCCATACCGTATGCGTTCTATTCATTTTTGCATTAGTATTAAGTACAAAATACTCTCTCTGTATTCTGAATTTTGTTTCCTAGTTAAGCAACGATTGTTTCTTTTTTTGCCGTATGTTTTGCACACCAGTGTAAATGTATTTAAACAGATACCTTTGTTGAAAATACAACAGAAAACTAATAAATTAAAATAAATTTTAATTAATTTATTTGAAAATTGAAGAGAAATAAGTGCCTATAATCTTGTTTTTAAACCATATTTGTATTTTATTAAACATCAAAAAACAAACTGCATTAGAAGCCAGAAAAGGCCGCATGTTCCTTACTATAACGAGATGCCAGTGGCGTGCCGTGACATTTGATGATAGGGAAGCTGTGTTTCTGTAAGAAGCCGACATCCAGGGGCAATCAGTCAATTGCGCGTCAGTGATGGTCTAGGATCCATTCGTATCGTTTATTCGATAAGCAAGTAAAAATCGTAGACTTCTCTAAATGCATTTTTAATATCACAATCACATTCCGAATCGCTAGCCAAGATATAAAGGCTACAATTAAAAATAAAATAATAAAAACTTACTTGGTGAAATAAAATGTATGGTGGATGTACCGGTACATACCTGGTACAAAATATTCAATTGTATGAACATACTTTTAAAGAAAATTATAATTAAATATAGCTTTGTAAAGAAACGTACATAAAAATATAAAATATTCTTTATTTTTTACTTTTTTCTATTTTACTATTCCTTTACTTTTAGTGAAAAAAGTACAGATAACACCCACCCCACTAAAACAATGTTTATAATCCACCTCTATCCTCCCAAAATGAAAATCCTAGTCAATGGGAATTCGGAAATGAATCCAGCGGGTCGATATAACTCAGGAATATTTCGAAAAAGTATAAGCACACACAGAAAAGAATGTGGTATGTATAAGAAACTATCAACATTGTTTGCTTTAGAAATGAGTCTTATCTGAATAATTAAAAAAATCAACCGGTAGTTATTTAATTAAATGAGTTGTTGAACAAAATCAGAATTTACATAAGAAATATTTGACATAGAAATAGAGCCACAAATAATTTTTTTTAATATGAATTGTTTTACTTGTCTCCTAATTGTGTCTTCGTTATCTGGTATGACACAAAATCCTTTATATTATTTCAAATTACTATTTTAAAAAATAAAAGACTATACATAAATCTTTCCTTTATTCAAAATAACATCAGAACATTCTTTTTCTTTTATTTTCTATTACAAATATGAACATAGATGATAATCTCTAAGATTGACTTAACTACAAACAATTTACATTTGGATAGTTATATTAATAATGCTAAAATTTTATTGGTGTGTAATATGAATGTTCTTATTAATTCATTCAAATAAAATTTTATCTGTACATTTTTATATTTATCCGTTTTATTAATACTTTTAACACAGTAAAATTATCTCACAATCGGTTGTCTGTCTTATAACCTTCATACAAATACACTAAATATATTTTGCATGAAATATCTTTTTATCACATTCTTAGAAATATAAATTTTTCAGAAAATTTACAATTTTACAACAAGGATTTTTGACATTGTACAATTTCATCATGTTAATAAAGTTATGCAATATGACCGACACTTTAATATTTTGTATACAAATCTGGCAGAAACTAAATTTACAGTTTCGGGTAGGGAACACATTTGGTAACTTTTAGTTTAATTCAAAGCGTTGACAAAACTGTCATCTTTGGCCCATGATGTGGAAATTCTTTTATCACCTTAAGGTATCTTCTGTTTAATATCTGATAATTTTTCTTTTATTTTTTGGTGGATTACTCTAGAAGTTGTTAAGGTGTTTCCAAGAAAAAGAACAAAAAATATAGCTGCCGACCAAAGTACCTAAAATAAATTTTGCAGATAAACATAACATAATCTAGTTTTAAAATAACGATTTGTTTGTTTAGTACTCTATTTATTCATATATGAGATAAAAATATAGAAAATTTTAAAGATTATTTTCAAATAAATTTTTTGCATTGACTATTTTACAATTAAATCTTTTAACAGATGTAATTTTTAATTAAGTATTATTTCTATTGTGTTACAGAATAACATGCTTTTATCCATATTTTAGCATAATAAAAATTCTATATGTTTGATAATTATAGTGGTAAAAGAAATAATTTTTTGTACCACAATGAGCAATTAATTCTATTAATATTTGGCTAACATAAAAATTTTTTTATTATTCATTGTCAACATCTCATACTAAATATAAGTAAATACATTATAATTACAATAAATTTCACTAACCTGCCATTCAATGCATCGAGGATGATCACTCAATTTATATAATGTGTAAGCATTATACAATTGGAATATCTATATTAAAGATAAATTTATTATAAGTGTAAATTTATAACATATATTTTTCTAAATATAATTTTTTTCTAATTACAGTAAACTACATTCACTTTTGTATCCAAACAGATTTCTAAATACTACAAAAACAAACTTTAAAAAATTTCTCATACATGGTAATTCTTTTTGATTTGTAAGTTAATATTGAAGATGATATTTGATTATTAAAATGTGGAAGATTAATGATTGCTTGAGAAAATTGCAGATGCAATTATTTAGCTGTCTAAGAAATTGTCTTTATCCATTTTTGATAAAACACATCAGCCAAAATTGCATACAACATTCAAATGACTTATTGTTTATGAAAAATACTCTAAAAAATAAATTGTAATTTAAAAAGACTTCAATTTAAGTATTTGCTTTAAACATCAACTTTATAAAATGTAAAATGACTGTAAATTATATGATTAAAAAGGTCATTAGAATTTGCTCAAATTATATCAAGGTCTTAACATAAAAACCATTTACTTAAAATTTTCTTAAATTTTTTTATGGCAATTAATTTATTATGTAAGCAGAACATCAGGAAAAATCATACAAAGTAATAATAAAAAAGTAGACTAAGAGTTCAAGTATCTAATGTTATATCACACACAAAACCATAAATGTTCACAAATATTTTCTCTCTTCCAACTCACATTTGAAAACTACATTACAGTAAGACCCCACTTAATGCTGATTCAATATAACACAGTCTGCTTGACACCCAAAAAAATGCTCAAAATTTACTCTGATTCAAAATAATGTGGCATTTCATTGATTCGTATATAATATGATTATTCCCAAACACAAATCAATCAGCAAAAGGTGGCAATTCATCGTAGTGCTGTAGTTCCCTTAAATCCATGTTTGTTTTGTGCAATTTTGGAAAAAATATAACATCATGGATGCCATAAGAAATAGCAACTTGGCTTGGCAAGAATTAACTGATAAATGCATGAATGGAGTGTGGAAGAAGTTATGAAGATATCCAAGAATTCTAATTGAGAAGAGCCTATCGCTGTATCATTAGGCTGACAAAATTGTCAACTTAATCGATACGTGAGAAGTATACGAGCAGGATATTGGGGAGTTACTGCAGGTTTCTGGTAAGAGCCTTACCAATGATGATTTCAAGAACTGGCAAAACAAGAAATTCATGTAGAACTGGAAAACAGATTCTGAAAACGAAGAACCCAAAGAACTTGCTACAGATTAGTAAAAGTTTGGTAATGATAATCGAAATCGTTGTCCAAATTGTAGCAAATGATCTAGATTTTGAAAGGAGTGCAAAAGCAAAACGAGGCATTTTGAATGCGATCTTCTGCTACTCACATTTGCTTATGGAGAGAAAAAAGCACAAATGAAACTTCACGATTTTATTGCAAAAAAAAAAAATTTTTTCTTCAGAAAAGTCAGTACCTTCGTCACAAAAAATGAACTAATTAATATATTATTATTCATTTCAATGTGCATTTGTCTATGTGTTATTTAACATATATTATTATACAAATTAATATAAAAATAACTTAAAATTAAAGTAAATTTTTTTAAATTTTCAGTCGCGTGTTTCCCTATCCCTATTTACTCTATATTAAAATGGTCTCGTTTAACGCTGTTTTGCTTAGCGCTTTGCCATCTAGGAACACATCCCCCGCATTAAGCAGGGTCTTACTGTATTTTATAACTTTAATTTTATAAATTTTAAAATAATTTGTTTTTATTTTTGTGCAGCTTATTTTTGAAAACCATATTTGTTAATTTGTTAATAAAATGTTAACTTAGAACATATAAATATATATCTATGCTACAGTATCCAGAACCTGTAACCGGTGCGTGATGTATATATATTGTATACCGCTGTTGATGAACATTTTTGAACAATCTCTTTGCTCTTTTTCAGGTCAATTGGAATTTCCTGGATAGAATGTATTCTATTTGTTGGAATCAGGTGTTATTCCGATGAAGTGAGTCCTTTCTGACATGTGTGGTCGTGCACTGGAGGAGGTAGTTGCAGGTTGGCATCCAACAGGGATTGCCAGGCCAGAGAAAGAATCAGCTCCTCCTTCCGGTTAATGCACGTGGTTACCACAGCTATCTACAAAGCCAGTCAGGTAAGACAGTACAGACAGAAAAGGAAATTTTACAAAATTTTATGATATTTACTATGCACTGAAAAAAATAAATCACATTAACCACTTTTCAAGTTTGGATGTTAAATCGACAATAATGCACTATCCAGACATTATGCAAGATGTAGCATTGATTGTCACAGCATTGCCACCAACCAAGTTTCAGTAGAGCATTTATTTTCCACTCTTAAAATTATTAAATATGATTTAAGAGCTTCAGTGAATGTTGACTTAATAGAAGTGATTTTTTCTGTAAGGAGTAATTGAGTATATAACAGAGATGAAAAATAATAAATTAACTAACATGGCAAAATAAGAAACCTTTTTCTTTACCAGTCTAAATGTTATATTTTTCATTCTTGACTTAGTTTAATGTATCTTTATACTTATATATTACCAAATATACTCGTATATTATGTACAGTACAACATTTTTATTAAACTAATTTGTTTGTGTACGAATGTATTTACTATTTTTATTCATACATGCTTACCAAATACCATTGCCATCATCAAACAAGTCAATAAATGTGAATTTATATATTCAGTAGATGTGTTGATTTTTAATGTTTAATTAGTTTTTTAAAATCGTTTTATTTTGTATTTTTAAAAAATAATCAGAATCGTCATCATTATTACTTTCCCAGATTTTTACTCTTTTGGACTTGGGAAGCCTTAAAATGTAGAGAAGTTCAAAAGCATTCGGGGTTTTTTCTATATGCATGGGTGTTAGAATGTGTACCAACCGATTTAGTTCAACCATTTTGAAGCTTAATAATGCCTGTATTAAACCATCTGACTCTGATTCAAAATCGTGACTTCCATACAGTCTAACATTCGTACATACAGAAAAAAATACCTGAATCTTTTGCATATCTTGACATTTTGAGGTGTCCTGAGTCAAAAAATGCAAAAATTTGGGGTTGGGATATTTTGACTGATCGCTACACTTTTCCTGTTACATATAACAGCTGGATAAGTAAAAATTATCAAATACATATTTATATATTGACTATGTCATTACTTAGAGGAGTATTTTAGCTTTGGAATTAAAAAGTTTCTATGTTCTATCTTTATTAGAACTATATTTATTGAAGCTTATATTCTGAGGTCACGTGATGACATCAGAATTTTCAGGTTTACTTTGTTAACAAGTCCACCTCTGGTCAGAGTTGGAGTTGAATGGCAAGGAAAAATCAGAGTTGGAGTCATGTAAAAATCTACCGACTCCACAGCCCTGATAAATTCTCAAAACCACTTTTTCTCCCCAAAATGCAAATCAAATATATCTGATTTGCATATGTTACTATATAGCTATACATATAATATATGTATAGCTAATAATAAAGCCATTATTGAATAAGTTTCCAATTAGTTAGTACATTATCTTTTAACAAATTTACAAAAAATTTTATTATTACATACATTTTTAAAAATTTATAATGTCATAATCTACATAATAAGATAGGAATGTCTTCTTACTTCAGACATTAAACAACTTGATGAGAATGATTGAACGTATGTATGTATAGTAGACTCTCAATTAACCAGCATCCATGGGGATTAGTAGATGATAGAGCTACTAGTAAAAAGTAGATGCTTAGTTGTTTGAGAGCTACTAGTAAAAAAAAGCCTACTAATTCTATACCCTATATTATAACATAACTTATTATAAATTCTGTATTCACTTGATATTAATATTGAAATATAGTAATTAAAAACAAATTAAGACAATAAAGACAAACTCAATGTAATATAGATTTATTATAAAAACAACTAATAAAAGATCCCAACCAACCAGCATGTCAACACATGGTAAATTGGCAAGAGTGAGAGACAAACATCTGGCATGTGAAGTGTGGGCTTTTCACAGCACAGCACAAAAGTATAAACTTACATTTCTGATAAAAATTGATTTTATTTTAATTTTTACTTAAAGTATTATTTCTTCAAATTTTTATGCTAATTGTTTGAGTTCTGATTAATGGAGTATTCACATATGTATACAAAATTCTTTTATCATACTATTTTCAATGTGTTCAATAAGCAACTTCTGCATCTATATACTTCTTCCAGCATCTATATCACTTTTTCAAAACAGTCCTGAAATCTAATTTTTATCATGCCTTTAATGGCTTTTATCATTGCAGCTTGATTTCTGCTGCTTATTGTAATCTGCTCTCTTCAACTTTTTATTTTACAAAAGGCAGTGGAATAAAAATCAAGGAAATATGATATGTAAAAAAGTACTATTATACTTTTCTTGGTCAAAACATTGGTGGACTGGCCCACCAGAAAATTCCCTTCCCAATGGACTGTTTGTTCAGTGGCTTTTCTTATTTTAATATATGTTATATTTCACTTGAGAAAAAAAGTTAAACAAAATATAAACTTTAATACAGTAGACAATCCTTAAAGTCTTATACTAATTCACATCATAAGCTGCCATGGTACTGTACAGCCACAGAGATAGACATTGGGCTCACCAGTGATGATATTCGAAATATTTAATTAACAAAGGGTTTGTTAACAGAAAATTTTTCCTTAATTTTTTTTTGCTCAAATGGTGCATTAGCAACATTAGTGCAAAAACTGACCTTAAGATATCCATATAAATAAAAAAAAATGTGTTTGCAAAATTAAGTCAGTTAAAATTTAACATTGTTTATGCCAGAACGATATTTTTTTTTGATAAATAATAAAAAAGTGTGTTCAAAATGGTTTATTTTGTACATATTTTAATATTTTTCATTCAAAATATTTTATAAACATAAAAATTGGCTTTTTTTAATCAGAAAAAGTCATAGGGAAAGCAGTTAAACAAGAAAAACTTTTCTAAATCATTTATTTTATCGTTAGGTATTATTATAATAATATACAGATGTCATCGTCTCTCGAAATACAATATCTTTCTTATTTTGCTGTTGATAGCCTGACACGTGTTCCGCAGCCATCTTGTATTTTCTCGCGCGCGTGGTATTATGGGATCTCTCTTATGACTGGATCTAGTTTCAAGAACTCTCTCGAGTCGATCATGATTGAACCTCATTTTAGTCAAGATTGAAACGGTCGATGAAGGTTGCACTAGGCAAACAGGGTATAAGGCTCTAGTTTAGTAGTGTTACAGAGTATAATACGTATATTTTAATATATTTTTTAAAAGAAACAAAACCACTGAGAAATGTTACGTGTGTTTAACAATGGGTTCGGCCGAACCTGTGCGAACTCGCTGAATATCACCACTGGGGCTCACGGTAAACAATCTATTTCTTAAAATTTTAAAATGACTGGCTATGATATGAACATGAGTTGCCATGGAACAACTCATGTAAACCAATATTTGGCCCTCCATTATGTGCATTTTGTAACTTCTAATTTGAAAATGACTGATACAACTTAGGCTGTAGGCTGCCATTTTTTATTAGGTCTCTTTTTGTATAGATGAGCTCTATAAGGGCATCTTTATTTCTAGACTTATTTACACCATCATGAAACACAAGACCAGCTTCAATATATCAATTTATTTTTAATAGTATGCATTTTAGACTTAAATCGTTTACAATTTTATCTAAGTATTCAATTGAAAAACAATTATTGCCAAATGTCAAAATTCCTTTGTATGATTTGGAGTTGTAAATATGACAGTTTTGCAGAAAATTTGTAAAAAAGCTGAGGAGAGACTTAAGTCTAAAATGCATACTATTAAAAATAAATTGATATATTGAAGATGGTGTTGTGTCTGATGACAATGTAATAAGTCTAGAAATAAAGATGCCATTTAGAGTTCATCAATACATTTTCAACTAACAAGAAGTGTATTATAGTAGTAAGTCTCTTTCTGCCTTGTGGGCACTAAGAGAACCTTTTTTCCAAGACCATCATAGGTTTAGCCAAACCCACAATGGGAGCAGCTAGGTAGACAAGGAGCCCAAGATTAGGACCATTCCTGAAAAATTCCTAATATGTTTTTTCAAGTGACTGGGATTCAATCCTGTCCCCAGAGCTGCAGGAGGGATAATGTTTGGTTCTAAGATGAAAGGAAAAAATACTTTCACAATTTCTAATATGGTTACTTGATGCCTGTAGATTGTTAGTCATAAGACAAAGTCAAAATATTCTGTGTTATACTGAATCTTATAGAAAAAAAATCTCAGACTATTTGTTAGTAAATAATTAATGCTATAAATTATGGTGTTTATATATTAATTGGAATGAATACTGAGACATATTCTGACTCCTTGACAAGATAAACAATAAACTTTAACAGAGTGAAAACTTTATTTATTTGATATGAACATTTATGAGGTGGAGATGATTCATCTTCAGATAAAAATTTAAACAGAAAACTGAAAAGTAATTATATCAAAAACAGTTCACCACAATGTAACCGAATTCTGATAATGGTTTGTTTTTTGTTTTTTTTCTAACTCTTTCCGCCCTGTGGGCATTAGGAGGGCCTCTTTTTTGCAAGCCCATTATGAATTTGGCCAGGCCCACAATGGGGCAACCAGGTGGTGAGGGATGAGTCCCAACATATCCAAACGGACCATCCCCCAAAAAATTTATGGGGATTATTCGACCTGTCCAGATTCAAACCCAGGTCCCCAGAGTAGTAGACTGCCACCTTGACTGCTTGGCCATCTGGCCATGACTGGATAGCAGTTAAGAAGTGATAGTACAGATCACTTGTTCAGATTAAGACATAAGAACTTGGGCACAAGAGTTCCAAATCTCTCACCAGTCATCATGCAATTAGAATACAAAAACATGCCAAATTGCAAAAAAAATTTGCACTTATGTATTGTAAATTATCAAATTATAAAACAAAAATTTGCATTATCTACAGTCAAAATAGCAAATATTAATGATTCAAAACTAAAAGTTGGTTGATTTAATAAGTTAAAAAACTTTTTGAAATAATTAATGTAAAATTTATTTAAATAATCATTACATAAAATTCTTGTTCTAAGGAGGGCTGTCAATAGGGAAAAGTCAGGGATTTTTCCCCGAGTCCTAAAAAATAGGTGCCCTTAGGGGTTCCTATCCCTATAAATTAACATTACTTTTACTAACAAAGTCTAAATCTGCTTATTATTATTAAAGCATACATAAAATACATAACATATATACATAACATTAAATAACTGATAAGAATATCTCTGATTATAATAAGTGTATTCTACTGTATACAGTTTGAATTCATATTGAATGAATTATTATTATTGCTATCATTATACAATCATTGTCTTTGCTTTTTAGAAAATTTTCCAACTTTTAAAACTAAATAACCTTGCATAAAGAATGAAAAAATATTCATAATGTGTAACTTATCACAAATTCAAAAGAACAGAATGGACAATTATTTTAAAACAACTAACAAATATTTTTCTTTTATCTAAATCTGTTTCTATCTTTATCTAGTCATGTAATTCATAAAAATTTCTCAACTTATGTTCAGATTCAGAATCTGACTAAATTTTAATGAAATCATTGTATATGCTTTCATAATTCAATTTAAATTCTGACCATCCAAAACTTGAGTGCTTTTGTTTTTCATAACAGTCTTTGAATTAGAATTATATTAAACAAAATTTCATTTTATTATATATTCTATATATGTATGCATGCATGCATCATGTACATGTACAAATGAATTACTTATATAATACATTAGTAACAAAAAAAACTATACAAATTTTAAAATTTATAAATGTAAATTTATCATAAAGCTCTTCTCATAATTAAATTAATATAAACTTATACTTACATATCCAAAGTATAAAAATGGCAATAGGAAAGTAAGTCCTTTCCACATCCAGGAATGAAAACCCTCTGAAAAATTAAAAGTTCATTAATTCTCTAAATATAAACATTTTATTTACTGTTGAATAATGAAGAATGATTTTTATCATTAGTATATTTTCATAACTGAATATTATCAACTTGTGATTCAGTATAAAAACAGATTTTCTTATTTTTCTATAGAAATAAGAAACATTGAAATTAAGGTTTTAAATTTTTATTTTGTAAAACGTTTTAATAAAAACAACTTATAAATTTTTAAATACAATTTACAAAATTTATTTACCAATTGTTATATCCATATTATACCTTTCACCTAAAGCTCGTAAGCGATACAAACATCCTTGCTGGTAACTAAATTGCAAAAATTGCAATATACCTATTAATCGATTAAAAAAAATTACATTAGTATTTTTAAATTAATAATATTTACATATATAACATTAATCATATATTTAAAATTGAATATACATTTATCACATATACATACTTGTATAACAAGTGTAGACCATAAACTGTTTTCTAAATAAATCATACATTAATCCATCAGGCCTATAATATTTGTAAAAAAATTAACATTTTTGAAGTTATATCCTATTATTTTTTTAGTTATTACATACCATACAATCAAAACACCAGCTTGTACAGTGGTAATGAAATGATTAATTCTCCACCATCCTTTCATTCTATTTAAAAATAAAATTTTAAAAAAGTTAGAATTTTTTTGATGAGTACATTATTAAATATTATTTTTAAGTATTATAATATGTTAACATGGAATATCTTACCGCGATCCATTGATAACTAGAATGCTTTCTCTGATTGTTAATGTACAATAATACCAAACCTGTAAAAAGTGGAGAATGGAATCTAGAACTCTGAAATAAAGTATATAAAAATAAAACTTTAAATTTTCAGTCTTTTAATCTATGAAATTAAAGTTATTTACCGATATGACACAATTATGTCTAGAAATGACAGGATAAGAATGATAACTGTTACAATACATTTGAAATTTTCATATTCTTCTTTATATTTCAATCTGTAAAATAAAATAGTTTACTTGTACACTTTTATATAAATTAATATTTTGAAATTCTTTATATTTCTTAAAATATTCAAATAAGACAAGAAAAGAAAAGCTGTTTTCAACATATTACATTATTTTTTACTATATTCCAGGCATGGACAATCTTCCTATAGTAAAGAGCCATGCAATACTGTTTTGATCCAAGATTGGACCAAAATTCTAAGAACATCAGATTTTATATACATTCTACATAAAGTAAATTCTATATTTCTAAACAAAATCTGAATATTAAGCTTCAAATCTATCACTTATAGCCTTATGAACTTTTTCTCCATTAAGTATATTGATTTATTGTAAATTACTTAAGATGGAAATATGTTTAAGGCTCATGATAGTAGGCTTATGAGAGCAATGAAAAATGTTTTCCATTCTTCTATACACTATATTGATTGTATAATAATATTCAACTTTAATTCTATTAGGAACTAAATACAGAAAATAAACAGCCACCAGATAAAAATAATTAATTGTTGTTAAATATAATCATCAATCAGGGTTTTTATGAAATAATTTTATAAATTCAAAGTAATATTTATTCATTATTTAATATTTCTTAAACATTTAATTATGATATAAATGAGTACTTACCTATCATCTTTGTTCATTAAATTAACACTTACATTTCCAAGAATGACTTTAAGGTAGAGTCTAATGACAAAAATATATATTTTAAAATAAAAAATATATAATAAATCATAAAATTAATAGAAAAATTTAAAATAATTCCATGTAATGTTAATAACTTTTAATGTGTTCATAATCCGAGATTCATTAATAATTTATTCCAACATTAAAATAATATTAAAATTAACTACATATCTAGGTTTACATGATAATTTTATACTTATGGAAATTCGTGCACATTATAATATAAACAGCTCTTATAATTGCAACTCGCTAATAGAATTGTTAAAAAAATTTAATAATATGAGTAAAAAAGAATTATATAATATTTATAATTATTTTTGTAAAATAGTAGAAACTTATAATAACAAAACAAATTAAATTAAAGAATATGTGCATATGTACGCGAGAAATAAATGCAAACTAAAAAATTAAAGAAAATGTATAGTTTTATTAAAAATAAATATGGATACATGTTTCTACAACCCCTTGTAATAGGGAAGTAATTCCCAATAGCCAATAAAAGGTTGATAATTTTATACTTATGTTTATAAGAGTAAACATAAAAATAAGCAAAAAGTGCTGAATATTTATATCAATACATTAATATTTAAGTAAATTCTCATAGTATTGTTTTTATTTAATCTTTTAGAAGTAAAATTTCATATATTTAGTTTTATAATTGTGTGAGAACCGAGAGGTATGACTATGTCGTACCTCCGTGAATCGGCTTTCAAGTCGGAGGGACTTGCCCATTTGTCAGAGATGGCTTAAAAGTTTAGTTTATCCCAAGGGAACGGGACTAAATTTTTTCGGATCTGGCGAGTGTCAGAGGGAGGAGTGCCGTCAGTAAGGTGACAGGCAATAAACGAGTAAAAGAGGACACCAATTTAACAAGGAAACAATGATTTATTAGTTTTCTTTATATACAATACAATAACTAGTATCGAGAGAAAATTTCTGAATCCTTAAAATGCAAAGGACCGAGAGAGAGTTCACAGAAGTTGGTTCCATACCTCTTTATGTATTTGGATATCCTGGCAAAAATCAGGTAATCCATCAAATCGTCGAGGATTGAATTAGGGCACAAAGTTATAGAAAAATCCTAGGTTATTGGCACTACTACTGTTGATGAGCGGCTTCCCGGAGGAGGGAAGTGACTTTTATCGTTTCGCGGTGGGAAAACTGTCAGGTGACTAATTAGTTGTGAGGAGTGTGCGGGGACAACTTTGACTCCCTGCACACTAAAAGGTGTGTGGGGAGGTCAAACTTGTCCCCTAAACCCAAATAAGATGACAAAATCATATGTTAACTATCAACTTTTAAGTTCGTAGTGTGGGAATATTGTCGAGATGGGCGAATGTTTACTTTAAAAAAAGGGGAGGTGGAAATTTCTCCATCTTTCAAGGTGGTTTCCTTTGTATTTTCTAGGGGAATTTAATTGGTTTTTAGGTAAAATGGGACATTAAGGAAAAAAAATCAGTAGAAAATCTGGATTTCACAATTTTTAAGTATAAACATCCCTAAGCCCAATAATTATATTAAAGCCAAATGATTGATGAATTAAATCAGACTATATTACTGCTACTATTAATAATTAAATACTAAGTAATTTCACCTAGAGGTAGGCATTAGGTTCATCTCTTACTAAATTTAAATATTTAAAATTTTTTCTAATATGTGGTGAAAATTTATCATCATAGGTGAATATTAATGATGATAAAAATATTAAAAATTTAGTTAATATCTATAATGACTACTGTGATAAATAAATCAAAATACCTTACATAAAAGCTAAATAATGAAGTTTGCATCTGTATTTTAAAATACTCTTTAAATTCAGATATCAACAAGATTTTAGGTAACAATAAATATGCACACATTTTCAAAAGAAATTTCTAAATGAATACTAACTTATACATCTAGAAGTTAAATATAATTTTTTATACAATACCCATTTTTTCTTGGTAATACAGATTCCATTTCTTTCAAGCGTTCATATCTTGTTCTTATGTTCTCTTTTAGTTGAGAAACTTTAGCCTTTTCTTCAGTACTTAATGATTTAAAACTAAAAATTGAAAAAATTTTATTATATGAAATCAATTAAATTACTACAGTGATATTAGTGGTGCTAAATAATTTGTTATACTAATAACGAGCAAAAATTATTGTGACATCATCACAATGCCAGACTGCAATTTTTAATCATATTTTTGATTTATTTAATTTAAAATATATGATATGGATCTCAAATTATTAGTCCCTTGCCCCTGCACATCATACTTTTCCTGACAATAACAGAGTCATGCTGGTCATCTATGTAACTCCAATCCAGGGAAAATTTTTTAATTGAAATCATGTGACATCCAGTCTATACAAGAAGTTTGTATATAGTTAATCGGCTTCCTGCCCTTAAGTTTTCCATATCTGGTCTCAAATTTCATCTATCTAACACCATCCTTGAGATTAAGGAAGTACAGTACAGACAGGCAACAGTAGGAATTTATAGGTCTACAATTTTTTCAAACTGCAACCCAATTAGGATAAACACTGTACATATAACCAAAATCCAGCAAGAAGAAACCAGAATAAAGCAAATGTTTTTATCCTCATTTAACGGACATTGTCAGGCTCTGATGATTCCCATTAAACATGGATGAAAACATTGGCTTTCTTCTGGTTTCTTCTTGCTGGATTTTAGTTATATGTGCAGTGTTTATTAATATGTACCCAGTTTTAAGTAGTTGAATTTAATAATAAGGATAGTATGAATACTATTTTTTTGTATAATACAGAAAATCTTATTCAATATCACTAAATATAAATTTTACCATTTCAATGATTTTAAAAGTTTTAGAAAAATTTCTATTTTTCCTTTTCTTATAAATTTTTTAAAGGTTTATTCTATTGATTCCTGCTTGGAAGAAAAAACAAGCTTACACTCAATAAAATTTACAATTAAATAAAATATTTGATAAAGTAGAATATAAGATAATTAGAATAAAAAGCCAAAACAAAATTAATAGAGGAAAAACAACTGAATAATTCATAATAACATTTGACACACACTATGAATTTCTCAATCGTTTTCCTCCATTAATTTTGATGTATTTCATAATTTCATTAATTAACCTTGACACGGTTATGTTTATAATTTAATATATAAAAATAATAAAATACTAGTTTCAAAATCTCATTATATAATTCAAACTAAACACTAAACAGAAATCTTTATTGCTCTATCAAATTTTCTGTAAGTATAACAAACGAATAGAGAGAAATTTAGAATATAATTACATTCTATGTTTTCTATAATATATAGTTTTAACAATCAGCACTTTAAATTTTTATTAAAATTGAATAAATAAAACTAACATACCTTTCTAAAGATTGAGAAATTTGTCCCATACGATATCTATGGTGTCCTGTTGATTTTACACACACTGCTTGCAATTTACANGGCTACTTTACCATTATTATTAACAATTACTGAGTAATTTCATACTCAGTATTTAATTATTTATAACAATGGTAAAGTGGCCCAATTAATCTGGCAATCATTTGGCTCACTAATATCATGCAAATAAATGAATGCTTTTTCTCAAATGGTAAACCATTGAATTCACTTTACTTTCAATAATCCAACAATCTCCTTAATTAATTAACCCCTTAAGCCTATATCCCGAAATTAAATCCCAAGGCAAGTTAATTAATCTAACACTGTTCTGGTCTCACATATATCAAATTAACTAGATTATACTGTATATAATATTTCTATTAATTTAAACATTTTTAAACAGTAAATCTCATTTTATATATTTTTTGTTATGTATTTATTTTTTAAGTACAGTTAAAATAAATTTATACAAAATAATTTTTCATATAAATTTATTTTACTAACTTAAGTTTAAACTTTAACTAAACTTAAATCATAAACTTTAAAAAATGTTTCCAAATATACTAAATCCATGGAAAAAACCTAATGACAATGAATGTTGACTTCTATATTTTATATTAGTCTTTATGCATTTTTCTTTAAAACATTAAATTGCATCTTGCATCACATGTTTGTCCTAATTTTAAAACTTTAATGCAATACAATTAACATTTTATTAGAGTGTTATGTAATACTGAGAAAAATAAATTTTTTCTAAATCTTTAAAATAATGTGGTATTCAATGAGACAAGAGAATCCCTCAAAAGTTAAGTAGTATACAATTATCATTAACACTTCATCTTATCCAGTTCTTGCCATAGTTTCTTGAAATATGGGGATTATTATTAATGTCACTTGTCCAAATGGCATTTCAGTTCATAAGATTTTGCCCATATTTTGTAAATTGTAATAATATGATGAAGGAAGGATTTTCCTTCATGCCTTTAATGATCTAAATAAATTCAAACACTTTCCATTCATTGCTATTTCTTCACATTCTTCAGAGCATGAGGTACTCATCTTGCAACAACTTTGTGCTTTTCCAACTTCTTTGTCAAGATATGAAAAATATCAAAAGCTACAATGCTTACTTTAGCACTCATTTCTTGGTAAGCCTATTAACAATCAATTATCCAATAATCTCAAAATATTTTCTTCTGCACGCTGTTCATCTGTTACAGTGATTAAATGGCTGCAATAACATTTGTCTTTATACAACTTGAATTTTGATAAAGTATTTTTCTTGGCAAGAGTAAAATATTCTTAAAAATTCTTGAAAACGTACAAAAGTAGAAAGTAAACATTTTTTAGGTTAATAAAATAAACACTTAAATGTTTGATGTTTTCCTATTTTTTACAAGTATTATTTATTATTTCTATTTATTAGTCTATTTGTGAGCTTGTGTGTTGTAGCACCTATACATATGAAATTATTGTCGTTGTGCCCTAGTTTGAAAAGAAATCATATATATTCAATCTCTTGTGTGTTGGGTAAACACACTGATGTGAAAGCTTTTACATCAATACAGTGAAAGAAGTGTATTATTTTTCTGGGAAACATTACATATTTTGCCAACAATACCATCAATAGATTCACATTAGATCTTCCCAAATTATGGGTAGTTTACAAAAATATGAAAAATAAAACAAATAAGTAGACAATGTAAACTAGCCATTATTTTATACTTTTAAGCAAACCTGAATATTATATTTTTATTTAATACATATGTTTCAAAATTTTAAATTTCAGATGTTTTATATAAAAGCCCATTCAAAAATTTAATTTTTTGTTCATATACACTTACTCTGTGTTCTAAATAGAATTTTACCTGAAGATAACAATAATAAATTTGTCAAAAGTACTTGCATTTGTTTATATTTGTTTTTCTACTTGTTAATAAATTAGTGTAATACTAAGAGAGAGTGAATTTTTCTTCTCTATAATTAATCTCTTAATATGAAAAAATCATTTTGTAATATTAAATTTAATTTGAATAATATTAACTGTTTAATTTTATATGTTACTGTCCTGACAGTTAAGACAAAAAATATAATAAATACTAAAATAAAAAATTAATTGAATTATGAATCAAATAACCATTAAGTTGTTTTAATTATTAATCAATTTATAGAATAATCTTGATAATCTGTATGTTTGCTAGTTTGGCATGCTCAGTAATCCAACACCAATTGACTCTTGGGTATTACTGGCAAGTTGTAGACAAGCTTCTCATTAATTCAAACTCTAGTTCTTACTAACTTTGAACATTTTTCCACTAAATTTTGCATGGTATCAACCCCGAGCTTGAACATTCATTGAATATTGTTAGGCTCGTCATCTGAGGCAGCTCAAAATTATCTTATATAGTATCTTATAAGACAATACTGTATAAATATAAAAATCAGTCCCCTAAAATTTTCCATCAAAAATACTGTACCTCCCACTAAATTTTCCATTCAATTTTCAATTTCAATTCAATTCAATTCTAAATTGGAAACACTCATTTCCAGCAACAGCAGCATGCTTGGAAGACAACGTGGCAGAAGACAATTGAAATTGTTTTAAAAGGATTGACACTTAATTTGAAAATTCTAAAATACAACATATAACTACTCTCTTTTCATATTTTTTTTGATATTCTATATGTTTTTGATTAATACAATGCACTAATATACCTATGTAAACATCTCAAAGCCCAATATTTTTATAAGCCAAAAAATGGCCAGATTAATTGGGCTACTTTACCACTATTATTAACAATTACTGAGTAATTTCATACTCAGTATTTAATTATTTATAACAATGGTAAAGTGGCCCAATTAATCTGGCAATCATTTGGCTCACTAATATCATGCAAATAAATGAATGCTTTTTCTCAAATGGTAAACCATTGAATTCACTTTACTTTCAATAATCCAACAATCTCCTTAATTAATTAACCCCTTAAGCCTATATCCCGAAATTAAATCCCAAGGCAAGTTAATTAATCTAACACTGTTCTGGTCTCACATATATCAAATTAACTAGATTATACTGTATATAATATTTCTATTAATTTAAACATTTTTAAACAGTAAATCTCATTTTATATATTTTTTGTTATGTATTTATTTTTTAAGTACAGTTAAAATAAATTTATACAAAATAATTTTTCATATAAATTTATTTTACTAACTTAAGTTTAAACTTTAACTAAACTTAAATCATAAACTTTAAAAAATGTTTCCAAATATACTAAATCCATGGAAAAAACCTAATGACAATGAATGTTGACTTCTATATTTTATATTAGTCTTTATGCATTTTTCTTTAAAACATTAAATTGCATCTTGCATCACATGTTTGTCCTAATTTTAAAACTTTAATGCAATACAATTAACATTTTATTAGAGTGTTATGTAATACTTAGTGCAACATTTATATTTTCATATTTTCATAATTATGAATGTATGTATATTACATGTACTTTTGTAAAACATGTTTTAAATAACTTAGTATTATAAATTATTTTTCAACTAAACACTTAATATTTCAGATCTATCTAAATTTTTTATTACAAAAACTTATTTACGGCAACTATATAACTTTCAGAACTGCCTAATTGACTTTTTTCTTAATGAGAAAAACTGTTTTTGTTTTTTCATCATATCTTTAATCTAAAATTGATGTAAATAGTCAGTGTTCAAATTCTACTTGCATTATATATTTGATCCACTAAAACTGGCATAAAGACAAAATCACAACATAATGTTTTAAAGTGCAATCATAATATAAATCAATAAACTTTTGTATATTTTATTATTTTTAGACTAAATAATTTTCCCAATAAAGAAAAAAGAACACAGTTGATTAAATAATTCTTAAATTATAAGATATATTACAACAATTATAAATGTCATTGGAATTATAAATGTCATTATAAATGTAATTTGAAAAAATTGTAGACCTATAAATTCTCACTGTTGTCCATCTGTCTTTCCTTCATCTCCAAAATGGTATTAGATAAATAAAATTCAAGACTAGATATGGAAAGCTTAGAGGAAGGATGGCTTGATTAACTATATATGAACTTCCAATGAAAATGGAAGTCATGTTCTTTCAATTCAAAACTTTTCCTCTGAAAGAAGTTAGATGACTGGCCCATCTCCAATGCTAACAGAAAAGTATGATGTACAGGGGCAAGCCACTACTAATTTGAAATAGCAAGCATTTATTTTAAATTAAATAAATTTAAAATGTGGTTAAAAATTGCAGCCTGGCATTGTGACAATGTTACAATAAATAATTGCTTATTCAAATTTAATTTGATATTCTAAGAAACCATCAAATGAAATATAGGGAAACTGGCTTAAAATCACATACCAGGGTAAAACAGTACACTGGTTATATTTAAAAAATGCCAAAAAGTACATTTGAATTTATCACTATGCTGCTCATGAGGTGAGAGCAACAATCATTACAAAGTTTTGATATCCTAGCGAGTCTTTTGTTGAAGGAAAAAGAAAATCAAGAAAATTCTTCTCTGCAATGTAATATTGTGTATGTTTTGCAACTTTTTATCACTGTAGACTTAATTCATAAATAATTAAAATGTAATACTTTCAAATATAAGTGATTTTTTTATATCAACAAACTATTCCTCCATCTCCATAGATTAAACTATATTATTAATTATTATTAATTTAAAATAAAATGAAATATCAGTTGCCTGGATAAAATGACCTACTGTGTCATTTTATCCTAGTGCTTTGACAGTGTTCAAATTAAAGGTTAATATTTTATGTAATGATACTGACACAGGTACTATAATGTGATAGGCTTGCAGAAATTCAAGATGAAAAAACTGCAACTTTCAAAATATTGATGAAAGTGACTGCTTGCTTCTACTGTGATGACCTTTACATTCATTCTGAACCTAGAGAAACACTACTTAAATGTAAAAAATGTTCTTTCTGAGCAAATAATAAATTGCAGTGCAGACTTCACAAAGAGGAAAAATTTATATGTGATTCAGGTGAATCATTTTATCCTAGCAACTAAGGCAAAATGAATCAGTATCATTACTTTTTGAAAAACACCTGTCACTTAATAACAAGACTGTTCAGACTGTTTTAACATTATTTGTATTATTAAGCCAAGTTTCCCTAACAGAAATAAGTTTTAGATGAAAAATATAGAATCATATATATATTTGTTGTTATGCAATTATGTACACTATTTACTTTTTTTAACTAATAATCATTAAATGCATATACATACATATATATATACACATACATGTATATGTACTAATTTACTTTTAATTAAAACAGCTATTAATATACTTTTTTCTTTATGGCTAAGCTTATCACTTTCACTTGATGAATAAGCAATTTTTTATCATTAACTAAATATACTGGATTTAATGAATAAGAATAATTTACTGCACAACAGATTTACAAAAGTGAATTTATTTTACTGTATATTACACAAAATATTTTTTTTTCTATTTAAAAACTATTTTTATTCAAATTTCAAGTTAAAATAATTTTAGATAACACTTATTTAATCTTTGCCTTAAAATAATCTTTTGTTTGATAATTTTAGATAAAATTTGTTTAAATACTGTACATTTTAAAGATGATTAAAATGAAGTTTTAATTCATTGTTAAGACCTGATTTACAGTTTTAAGGTATATCATAATATATAACTGCTGAAATTAAATATATAAAGGACAAAAACAAATATTCCAGTATATATTTATATTTTAATTTCTAAAAATAGATTGATTTCTTAACTTGATTTTAAATTTAATAGTAAGTTCTTTTTTTTGCTTTACATTTTTTATCAATAATTTCAATTGATATTTTATATGATAAAATAGTAAAAAAATGCTATAATCTGACAGATATAATTAATATTTTTTTAATAAAGGCTTTTAGTTTAAAAAAGTTCAAAGAAAGATGATACGAAATAATTTATTTTTCTAAATTTTTTAAATAAAGTTATTTATGAAATTTCTCATTAATTTTGTAAATAATTATTTTAAAATATGTACCAGTTAATATAAAATGGATTAGTCTATTTTACCTCTTTTATTCAAATATAGTTGTCCCTTGATAATCCGACAGGTATGGGACCAAAGGTGTGTCAGATTACCAAAAGTGTCCGGATTACCGAAAATAATTACATATTTCGCATTGTTTTGCTAGCAGTAACTTACAATATTCTCTACTCCAACTGTTCGAACAGAACTGCTCACATAAAACACACGAAATGTGTGTCATCGAGTAAGAATTGGATGAGGAGATTCACATCGCGACATGCTTCTGTGCAAGCAGACACGTAACGGGGACGGGTACCTTGACGGGAGGTGCGTCAGACTACTGAGCATGTCGGATTAAAAAACGTCGGACTATAGAGGGACAACTGTAATTGATAATTATGTAATTATGATAAATTTATAGTTTCAAGTCTGAAAATGTCTTTCAGAATAGTACAGGGTCTTAATATATCAATGAATAAACACTGATAAACAGAATAAATGTGTTTTACTTAAAGTGAAATTTTATACATAAAATTGATTTCATAGATTTTGGAATTCATAAACACACTGATTCTAACAACAGACAAAACTCATCTGATTTGCCTTCAATTAATAAACTTTATTAAATTGACTGGATGGCCATGGCAGTTAAGGCATAGATAAGGCCTTTTGAAGACCTGGATCAGAACCAGGCAAGCAACTTCCTAGGAATTTTCATGGGTCTGTCCTGGATGTTTGGCCCCATCCCTCATCACTATAGTTATTCTTTATTTCAAAGGATAATCCCTTAGTTTAGCTAAACTGTCCTTGTTCTTTACTGAAACAAGAAATGATGCAATCTGTCCTTTATTTTCATTTTTCAATATCTACATTGCATAATGGCAGTGACAGATTTCTGTACAAGTGTATGTCTATCTTATACTTATACAGAAAGCTATAATTTTTCAATTGAAATCAAAAAATATAAACAAAGTGACTAAAAGGATTAAACCCAAGGATGACTGTTTAAAACGGAAGAAAACATTTGTTTTCATTTTATTTCTTTTATTTTTTCTGGTTTATTGGTATTTACATCTAGTTGAGATTATTTATATAAAAAAATTATTTAATTTTATTTTTTGGGGTAGGGAGGATGGAGAAAAAGTTGGAGATTGGTAGTATTAATCATTTTTAAGCATCCTTTAATCCAATTGTAAGAATCTGGCCAGTTACTACCAGCTGTTCCCACTGTAAGCTTGGCTAAACCCATATCAGGTATGAAAAAAAGGGGGTCCTCTTAGTGTTTAAAAAAAACCTTAAGTTAACTCATTAAATAAAAGTAAATCATTTCTTACTGTCCGTGAATTATCGAATAGTTCACTGTACACAGGTATTAGTTTATGTATAAAGTATTCCAATATTGATAAAGTCATACAAAACATATAAAATGTAATTTTTTGAGAAATATAAAACATACTTCAGAAATATTACAACTTTATCCCATCAGATCACAAATCTGCATTCATATTTCCATAATAAACTTTCCCAAACAGCACAGATTTTAATTTTATAATTAATATACAGTAGAACCTCGAAAACTCGACCTAATGTGGACCGAAGGGTGGCCGAGTTTGTGAAAATGCCGAGTTATCGGGAATGGGGTTAAAAAAAATAAGTACGAGTATTTCCTCAGAAAATACTGTACTGTACTTGTACAGTATTTACTTGTACAGAATATAACAGAGAATAAACTGCCCAAATACCCTTAAACAAAGGAAAANAAAGCCACTTTTGTTGGAATTTTTATATTACCTCTACTCATTAAAAAGTTAAAATAACAAAATGCATCATTTACTCTAAAATAATTTTCTGTATTCTTAATTAGCATTATGTAAACAGACGCTGATTAGGAATCAAGGTATTAATCTTTTTACAAAAATGTACTTTTGAATGTTTGTTTTAAGTGACCTTGAAAATTATTCAAGATAAAAAAAAAGTTCTAATTCTTTATGGATGGCTTCATAAATAATTACATTAACAAAAATTAATATATCCAGTATTTTTGGAATTAAAAAGGGTGCAAGGAACTTTTGACTCACTCTGTATATATGTATATAAAATGGCAATGATATACATAAAAATTTGGCAATTATTTGGAAAATTACACACTGCAATATATCAAAAAAATGTTTACCTCTATAATAAACTATTGTAGAAAACAACCAAATACAAAGAATAGCTGCTGCTTTTATATGTATAAAAAATATTAATTTTTAATTTTGTTGCTTTAGGTATATGCATGATCCTTATCAAATATACAAATCATTTTCTATTTCATTAACTTCTAATACTATTAAACCCATAAAACAGAAAAAATACATCTGTTTATTAACTAATATAAACTTTGGTACTTCATCTGAAACTGATTAAAATAAATCAGCAAGAAGTATATAATGTTAACTCTGACAATATTAACCAAAGATGTTAATATAGACCAATATGATAGTAACACTAAACCCAAATAGAAGTTCATAAATAACATAAATTTATTAAATTTCTAAAGAATAGAAACTGAATTTTTGAAACTTGCATTTTGGGTTTAGTTTCTGCATTAGGTAATAAATCTATTCAGTAAAATGGTAAGTTAATCCTGATCTACTGTATCATTTAGGCTTGGTTTTCCATATATATTTGCATCAAATAAAACTTTGTTTCTGTAATATTTCCTATAGGATTAAAAATACTATGTGTTTTTATTGTTGAAATTGAATATATGACAAATTTTAAGTTAAAAACAAACAATAGATTTCTATATCAATTGATGATGAATTTAATTACAGAATGAGTGAGGAAAAATATTGTTAATTGTACTTTCAAATGCCATAGTATATAGAAACCCAAGCTATTAGATATGCAATAGAAGGCACCATTAATTAGATTATTAATAAAGTAATAGTTATTTCCAATTGTAAAAGAATTTCTGGTATTATTGTATAAATTAAATAAATTTCACATGAAAGGAAATACCATGGAAGTGTTAAATTGCCAATAGTTTTGACAATCATTTTAACACTGAACTTTTTGTATTCTAAAAATTTACTGTAAATAGAGGCCAATTTTCTTCAAATGTAGCAACATGACTATTGTATAGTCAAGGTTTACAAGAATTCATAATGCCTTCTATTCAAGAATAAAAATTAGATTAAATTATATTCAAACAAGCAAATTTTCCAAAGTATTAAAATAATTATTTTATGTAATTTAATTAATTTTATAATTTAAATGTATTAATTTATTTTTTAAAAAACGCTTTTTTGTTAACGTAAATTTAAAAATGTAATGTTAATTTTGTTTTCTTTTTTGCTTTTGTTTCCTGATCACATTCTCAATTCATTATAATAAAAATTAACATTAATATCAAAAATTTAGTGGTATTAATACTTATTGCAAAAATAATTTTACTCGTGAATCATTATTTTTCAAATTTTTAAAGTTTAGAAAAATTTTAATTTTTTTTTCTAAAACATATATTGTATCGACTGGCAACCCGAATGATTCGGAGAAAAAGGACATTAAATGGCATATGAATAAGGGGGAGAGAATAGAATAGAACCCGAATGATAACCACGTGTTCTGTAAGTAAATGTTCCGAATAAGTACCGTATATAATTCAAATATCTGTATTATTTTACTTTTAGTTGAAACTAAAAATCGTTAAAAAAAAAGGCCAAAAAACAATATTATATAGACAAAATATGTAGTAAATAAAACTTATACATTAACGAAGAAAATGGAAGTAATTTCATTTTAAATGCGATAAAGTCTAGCTATTACCTTTAATGATGGTTTTTTTTAATGACAAGCATCATTAGACGAATGTACCAAATTACATCATGTATTGTGAAGATAATGATGCGATTGTATTTATTTGAAACATTAAAAAATTGCATTATTTACGATTATAAAAAAGAAATTTGCAATGGTATAACATGGTATAAATCACATTCATATGAATTTAACTGTTCAATGTTATATCCAACTGGATCATACAAATGGGCAGGGATATATAGTGAGTTTTTTGTAGAAACTTGTGTTTATATAGACGTCATAAAGTGTGATCTTGATAGTCAAGATAAATGATGCATAAATCAGCAAAGTGCCATCCTATCATGCAAGTTTCGTACAAATGAAGCATGGTAGCAGCACACTCATGTAATAAAATGTAATTTTTATTCTATAAAATATAAAAATGTAAATTTTATATTGAGTAGTCATTTCTGACAAACAGCCATCTACTACAATTGTTTTCAGTGAGGAAGTATTCATGATATGTCAGTAGCTTATCAGGCATGCCACAGAGAAGGCATTTGGATGATTCTTTGCAATACAGAGCTATTCATTTTTGCATTTTCGCCTTGGTATGTGGGTGTTGCTTAAATTTTGAACATAAGTGTATTTAGAATAAATGAGTACAGAAGACAATAGCTTGATCTATTCAATTTTTGTAGTTTTTATAATTTATACAGGTTCTGGCAGAAAAACTGGCAATTATAGAAAGACAGTTATTAATTTTTGAATATTTTCAAATGAATTTTTACACACAAGATTTTAAACAACATAGTTTATCATTTATGTTTTGTAGGTGATGTCGTGTGCAAACACTCTTCCCATCTTTAAAAACATGTTATGCATAGATTAGCACAACATGAATATATTGATACCCACAAAATATTGTTTTTATACCTCATTCTTTGTCCACAAATATTAAAACTTAAGGCAAAAAGTTCTCTTGCAATCAATAACATACCTGAGAATATATTGCACTGCTCTATGCATGACATGCTTTGAAGATTTGAAGTGTTTGCACATGAATGAAGATCACTTGTATGATGTCATCTTCAAAACATAAATTGTAAATTATGTTCAAAAAAATTTGTTTAAAAATTCTCAAAAGTTAATAACAGTCTATTTATAATTGCCCATTTTTCTGCCAGACTATAAATAAATTACATTAAAGCCACTTGTGTTGGAATTTTTATATTACCTCTACTCATTAAAAAGTTAAAATAACAAAATGCATCATTTACTCTAAAATAATTTTCTGTATTCTTAATTAGCATTATGTAAACAGACGCTGATTAGGAATCAAGGTATTAATCTTTTTACAAAAATGTACTTTTGAATGTTTGTTTTAAGTGACCTTGAAAATTATTCAAGATAAAAAAAAAGTTCTAATTCTTTATGGATGGCTTCATAAATAATTACATTAACAAAAATTAATATATCCAGTATTTTTGGAATTAAAAAGGGTGCAAGGAACTTTTGACTCACTCTGTATATATGTATATAAAATGGCAATGATATACATAAAAATTTGGCAATTATTTGGAAAATTACACACTGCAATATATCAAAAAAATGTTTACCTCTATAATAAACTATTGTAGAAAACAANAAAAAACCTAATGACAATGAATGTTGACTTCTATATTTTATATTAGTCTTTATGCATTTTTCTTTAAAACATTAAATTGCATCTTGCATCACATGTTTGTCCTAATTTTAAAACTTTAATGCAATACAATTAACATTTTATTAGAGTGTTATGTAATACTTAGTGCAACATTTATATTTTCATATTTTCATATTTATGAATGTATGTATATTACATGTACTTTTGTAAAACATGTTTTAAATAACTTAGTATTATAAATTATTTTTCAACTAAACACTTAATATTTCAGATCTATCTAAATTTTTTATTACAAAAACTTATTTACGGCAACTATATAACTTTCAGAACTGCCTAATTGACTTTTTTCTTAATGAGAAAAACTGTTTTTGTTTTTTCATCATATCTTTAATCTAAAATTGATGTAAATAGTCAGTGTTCAAATTCTACTTGCATTATATATTTGATCCACTAAAACTGGCATAAAGACAAAATCACAACATAATGTTTTAAAGTGCAATCATAATATAAATCAACAAACTTTTGTATATTTTATTATTTTTATTTATTTTTTTTAATATGAGAATTATTTCGGGAAAATATTAATTTTTAATTTTGTTGCTTTAGGTATATGCATGATCCTTATCAAATATACAAATCATTTTCTATTTCATTAACTTCTAATACTATTAAACCCATAAAACAGAAAAAATACATCTGTTTATTAACTAATATAAACTTTGGTACTTCATCTGAAACTGATTAAAATAAATCAGCAAGAAGTATATAATGTTAACTCTGACAATATTAACCAAAGATGTTAATATAGACCAATATGATAGTAACACTAAACCCAAATAGAAGTTCATAAATAACATAAATTTATTAAATTTCTAAAGAATAGAAACTGAATTTTTGAAACTTGCATTTTGGGTTTAGTTTCTGCATTAGGTAATAAATCTATTCAGTAAAATGGTAAGTTAATCCTGATCTACTGTATCATTTAGGCTTGGTTTTCCATATATATTTGCATCAAATAAAACTTTGTTTCTGTAATATTTCCTATAGGATTAAAAATACTATGTGTTTTTATTGTTGAAATTGAATATATGACAAATTTTAAGTTAAAAACAAACAATAGATTTCTATATCAATTGATGATGAATTTAATTACAGAATGAGTGAGGAAAAATATTGTTAATTGTACTTTCAAATGCCATAGTATATAGAAACCCAAGCTATTAGATATGCAATAGAAGGCACCATTAATTAGATTATTAATAAAGTAATAGTTATTTCCAATTGTAAAAGAATTTCTGGTATTATTGTATAAATTAAATAAATTTCACATGAAAGGAAATACCATGGAAGTGTTAAATTGCCAATAGTTTTGACAATCATTTTAACACTGAACTTTTTGTATTCTAAAAATTTACTGTAAATAGAGGCCAATTTTCTTCAAATGTAGCAACATGACTATTGTATAGTCAAGGTTTACAAGAATTCATAATGCCTTCTATTCAAGAATAAAAATTAGATTAAATTATATTCAAACAAGCAAATTTTCCAAAGTATTAAAATAATTATTTTATGTAATTTATATTGTAGTTCCTTTTAATTCTTTAATCTTAGATAATTGTATTATTATTTAATCAATCTTTTTTCATTCAAATTTGATATGTACAGTCGACCCCCCTATAACTGTTGATTTTTCTGTTTTATATGAATTCCAAGTTGTATGAGTCACTTAGATTTTACAAATATGTGTACCCGGCTGTGAACGGCTCATGTATTTGTAAAATCTAAGTGACTCGTACAACATGGAATTCACATAAAACAGTGTTATGGGGGGGTCGACTGTATTAAAATTAATTTTTTAAATTGTTAAAAACATTCTTAAGAATTTTAAATATAATTCTAAAATAATTTTTCTTTTCAGATTATAACAGATATTTGGAATTTTAATTGCACAAAACCAGTTTAATGATAAAAGCTGCTTTGTTATGATATTAAAGAAAAATAAAATGGGAGCTCTTGTATCTTATGTATTATCTTTATATTATGGGAAAAATGTACAGTTACAGTTTCCCCATGCTTTTGGTTTAAAGTATCCTCCTGTTTTGCATCAAACAATTACAGAAGAAAGCATAAAAAAATTTAATGAAGTTTTTGTTATTGGTGATGTGCATGGTTGTTATGATGAGATGATGGAACTGCTTCAAAATGCAAATGCACTACATGACAGTACATTAAAAATTTTTGTTGGCGATATAGTAAATAAAGGTCCAAAGAATCTTGAAGTGTTAACAACTCTTCGAACTATGACTTCTTCACTAATTGTTCGTGGAAATCATGATGAGGTAGTATTACGAGAATATAACAAATTAAATGATCCGTCCTACATAATTCCACCACATAATTTGTGGATAAAAGATATCCCAAAAATAGACATTGACTTCTTAAATAATTTACCTTATACTTTATCTATACCAAGTTTGAATGTTATCATTGTTCATGCTGGATTAGTTCCTAATCTTCCTCTTCATTGTCATCATCCTAAAGACCTTGTTACTATGAGAAATCTTAAACTTGGTGATTATTATGGCAGTAAATTAAAACCAACGTCAAAAAATACAGGTGAGCCATGGGCATCATTATGGACTGGACCAGAACATGTATACTTTGGACATGATGCTAAAAGAAAGTTGCAACAATTTCCACATGCTACAGGAATAGACACAGGTTGTGTATATGGCAATCATTTAACAGGTATATTTATTAGTGGTGCAAGATGTGGAACATTATTATCTGTTAAAGCTAAAAAAGTTTATGAAGCGCCTTCTGGAAAATGATGTCGGATTTAAAAAATATTTGTGATTACTTACTAATTATTATTTCTTCACTTTATATCACATTATGTGATTTGATTATGTTTTTAATAAATTATCATATTTAAAAAACTGTATTTTAATAAAATTTATTTACAATAGAATAGATTTAAAACTTTTTATAAAATTAAGACAATTCAATTGATAACAGTTGTGCAACTCTCTTCCACAAACGTCTTCCTTTGGTTTGTAATTTCTGTCGTTGTTTTGGAGATAGATTTTTTAATTCAGGAATATCTTGACAATCTTTTGATATACTCTATAAAAAAAATATAAATTTATATTTGTAAAAATTTTAATATAATTTAAATCATTATTAATGATAAATACCATGCCAAACTTCTTATTAGTTTCCTCTACAGTTACAATTATATCTAAAACTTCTATTGTATATGTTGGTTTTATCTCTTGTGAATTAATAATATCTTGAAGTGCCTGTGAAAAATTCATAATTTTTAGAGTACTAATATATTGATATAAGTCATTAAAATGTTATTATTTATAATTTTACCTTTATAACATTTGGCATTAATTTTATAAAAAATTTCTTCCAAACTTTCTTCTTGAGAACTGGCAAGTTCTAGAAAAACAAATTTATTAATTATAGGAGGAAAATTTAAAATATAAGTATTTTTCATTTAATTCAGCTTTATATATACACTAGCCAAAGTACCCATAGAATAAAATGAAAATTAGATATTTAGACAAAATTTTGTTATGGCTGGATAACAGTATGTATAATATATGTAGATATAACCAGTGATAACAAAGGTAATCTTACTGAGTGACTACAATACTACATATGAATGGTCTCTCAGAAGTTTCAAGAAAAAATATATTACATATGTTGTTGTATTTTATGTATGTATAAACACTATGCTTCAAAGCTGAGAAACACTGAAGTTCATTTTTGATAGAACTATTTTTGAACTATTTGCTTGCAAATTTTCATTTATCTAAAACTATTGTAAAACATAGCATTTCATGTTGTTCTTCAAAACCGATAGAAGTCAAGTCAAAAAATGAATGCCACAGTATCTAATTTTTGTGAATCTTTGGAACTTACAAGTGCATACCTACTGATTTTTTTAAATTCATTACAGGACATGGATTATGCAAATGCAATTGAAAAAGAGTTTTACAACAGTTTTTCATAAAGTGAAATTTGCATGCAAATGTTTATCTTTTGCAAATAGCAAAAAACCTGGTTCAGACAAATGGAATTTCTATAGAACAGCAACTGCACAAGTGCCAATTTGCAGAAATTCCATTCATCTGAACTTGGTTTAAGAATTTTATCAAAAATAGACTTCACAGTGTTTCTCAGCTTCAAAACATGGTTTTAAAATGTACGTAATAATAACAGTAATAATAACCTTCCCATTTCAAAACTGATCTTGCTGTGTATACCAAATTGATGGTAGCATATTAGAATTCAGTGTTAAATATTGTGTAGGTATACCATTAACCATATCAGCAAGGTTTCTGACAGGGATCTTTGTATCATGTTAAGCCAAATACCCTGTATGCTGTAACCAAAACCCAAATTGCTAAACCTGAACTTCTGGATTAATTTTTGGGCTTTACCAGGATTAATGATATGGAGCAAGAGTTTGTCCAGTTGTGAGTTCATCTTTTCTTGAGACAGATAATAGATATGTAGTATCTCCATGAGTAGCAAAGAAAGATCTTCATGCTTACAAAGAATATTAACTAGTCAAATAAATATTTAAAAAAAGGTATTTTTTAAATATTTATTCTGGTCATCTTGTAACAAGAAGAACACTTGTTTTTTTGGACAGGACTGGTTTAAAATGTAGGATTAGGCAAGTGTAATAAAACCCTAGAGTACTAATGTGTTACATTAGATCTCTCATTGTATATTTATTACTTGGTGGATCTTACATGAAGTTATTTTTATGTATTTTTTCATATTTTATTTTTTCTAATTATTTGTTTTTAATTTTATTTTTTAATTTTTTGTGATTTGTATTTATTTTATTTTTTTCATTTTCCTATATGGAACACCAATTTAAATGTTATTCAAGATTTTTAAATCTGTATTCTTTTTTGGAATGTATTGGTTTCAAATGTTCATTACGCAGAACATTCCATTTTAGTTTTTGTAACCTGAGGAAAGCCTACTAATGAGGCCAAAAATATTTTAGTTTTCAGTACAAAACTGCTGGAAAGGTGTTTTTGTTTGAATTTTTTGACATTTTATTCTAGGTTTGTTTACAAGTTACATTTGAGGAATGACAAAAATATTCTGAATTCAATATGCATTCCAATTTTAAAATTGGAAACACGAAAAGAATTGCATTTAAATGTGAAGTAGTGCAACATTTTTCATTGAACTGAATTTATATTTAAAAAAAATTACATTATTATTATACAATAATAATATTTAAAAAATCAACAAAGTCAAAATTTTGCAGTATTTAGATAAGGCAATAAATGAGTGTTTAAAATTATATTGAATTAAGAATTAAAACAAATAAGTACCTTCATGCACCTGATGGCTGCTAGTAACATTTCAAGTATTTGTGTTCTTTTATATAATCTGAAATCAGAAGAAAATGCCGCAACAGAAAGGTCATCTGCAAAATTCCACACTGTTTCCTATTTGAGAAGAATTTTTTCTCGTTTAAATTGATATAATTATTCATTTTTAATTTAATTTAAGTATTAATGAAATAACTTACGGGACATGCATTCAATATAGAAGTAAATATCTCTGGTTGAATGTGTGTTGATCTAAGAAAAATTTAATGTTTACAACAATATAAGCATTTCAGGTAATTTAAAATTAAAAATGTTTTTACAAAAATATAAATTTTTTTATTCAAGATACAAATAACTGAATTGAATTTGAAAAATATATTTCATACAACTTATTTACATATATGATTTTCACAAGACCTTAAATCTTACATAAAATAAATGACAATAATTTCTCACAAAATTTAGTGTTTTAAGAAATTTAATCTAATTTAATAATCTACAAGATGTCTAATTAATTTAAGATCAATCATTATTTAATATTTAATTGTCTTTTTTTAAATACCTCATTAGGATCAAATAGTAGAAAAAAATTCAGAATATAAATGAATATTCTGAACTTTTCACAAAATTTTACATTTTTGCATAAATAAAATCCAACTTTAACTTGTCAACAATCTTTCAAAAAATAACAAAATTTCCATCATATGTAATTTAGTTATAGGCAATCTCCAACTTTTGGACATAATGCATAATGTTCAAAAATCAAACAATAGAGATGCATGTTATATATAAACAGAATTCCTAGAGAGATTGAAAAATTAGTTTTGTAAATGATTTTGGCTGTTACTGAAACCAAAACTGGCAGAAAATGCCATTGCTTCATAGCTCAAAATTTGTGTTTTGCCAGCTGAAAATAAACAAAAGTACAAATTTGATGTATAAAAAGTGACTTAGGAGTATCAAACTATTATATATAAAAAGAGGGAGATGTCTGAAATTCAAAAACTGAGGACTGCCTGTATATTCAATTAATATAATTTCATATGCAAACACACAGCTAAACATTATTTTATAGTTTTCAGATATCTGAAAAATGAGATTCATAGATGTCATCCTGAATTTCAATTTTAATCAAACTGGTTTATTAATAATTTTAAATGAAATTTAAATATTAATGCATTACCGTGTCTCTAAGAAATGCTTCAGTAATTTCTTATAATCTTCAATAAACCAATCTTTTGATACTGATTGCTATAAAGAAGAAAAATATATTTGTTGAAATAATAACAATAATTAATAATGATGTTCAAAATTTACCTCTGAAATCTCTTGATCTGACTCTATTTTCTTACTGCACATTACCTAATTTTTTAAACAACAACAATTACTATGATCAAAATAAATTTTTTAAAAATTAAAATTATTATTACCACTCACCACATAAATACAAAGCTGGCTTAATTTTTTTTGAATCTGTAAATCTGTAGCTGCAATTTAATTACAAAACAAATAAATATTTTATTTTTACAATATTTTCAAACTTGTAAATGGCAATATTTTATTGAAATGATACTGATTTATTGATATATTAAGTGATTTAATTTAAATTATCTTTTCAATCATCACTGCTCATGACTACCCATCCGAACTGCAAAACAATCCTGAAAATGCACTTAAAATTTTACATTTTGAAACTAAGTTGAAGTGTCATCAAAATCATTTTTTTTTTTTTAATTTCTGGCTTTAGTTGAACCCAGGGAACAAGAATACATAAGACATAATCCATTTGAAAATGGGTAAAACTGAAAGGATTTTATTTGAAAATGAATAGATGAAAGGATTTACATAAGCAAGCCAGGAATAAAAAAAAACCGAAAATTAGACTTACAAAATACAAACAGAATGACAGAAAACTGTTGCTGAATAGCCCATATTTATTTACTACTGCCATGTTACTAAATGAAAAATATTTTTAAAATAGTTACAATTACTGAGAATGAATTATATCAACATAATATTTTGGAAAAACAATTATAAGCAAATGAAACCAGAATTATTCCCAAAGTGCTAAAAAATTTTTAACACTAACATTTGAGATCTCTTATTTCACATTTTGAAATACTCTAAATCAGGGGTGGCCAACCTTTTTAGCAGGCGGGCCAAATTTCAGAAATAATATTTCCTGCCGGGCCACGCACCTAATTTTTTTTAAAATTAAAGTAAACAAGCAAGCGTGCTACAGCTTCAACCGCATCGTTGCTTTCCAGTAGGTGAGATCGTGGTCAAACACTTGCCTGGTTTAATGTAAAAAAAAAAAAAAAAAATAGGTATATTTATTTTTTTGAAGAAAATAAAACATAACCGAGAATCATTTATTTAATAACCGAGAAACATATTTATTAGACAATTTAAAAATATTTAAAAGTGAGACATCTGACTTTGTTTTACAGAACTAACAAGTAAGTGCATCAAAATTGATCTGGACTGATGTAGTCGCTACACGCAAACAGTTTTCCAAATGAACATCAGTAATTCGTGTTCTCACTTGTGATTTGATGTACTTCATACGACTAAAAAGTTGTTCACACGCATAAGTGTTTCCAAATAGCGAAACCATTGACAGAGCATGTTTGTAAAACGCAAGATATTTATCCTTGTCCAAATACGTTTCATAGAACTCTTCCAAATCTTCTTAACTTTTCTAATGTTCATTTGGTGATATGTACAATAAAGTTAACATTTATGTTCATTTGACCTAGCTCCGCGGGCCTCATGTTGGCCACCCCTGCTCTAAATAATATGCAACAAAATTTTTTAAAATGTGACCTAGATTTACAACTTTTATTAACTCATTTTTATTTAAAAACTAACCAAAGCACCCAGAAAATTCCAATTGAAATGCTCTTATTAGATAAAATTATGTTATGGTTAGATAATGGCATGTAATCAATATGAAGAATGAATCACATACTTCTAATTTAGATAATGTCAGGCATCTCACCCTAAAATATTGATTGTTTTTGTATAAATCAATTAATTTCTATCTATATTCGGTTTGCTGATTTACATGTAGCACTATCTGTTGGCAAAAATCTTAAAATAATAAACTAAATATAATTCTTACAAAAAAGGACATAATTTTAAAAACATATACAGTGGGTGATTGGTTAATGAACACTTTCGCAAAAGATTTTTATGTGTGGACAACGAACACATGATCGGATAACAAACACTCCACAGAACAAACACAAGAATAAGCGACGTAAAATAATGAATACCAATTGGTCTTCCCTTGTCTTCAGGAAACAATTTGAAACTTTTTGGAGTGCGGGAAATATAGACATTGACGCTTAAACTGTTATATACTGATGAGATAGTATTCCTCCAAACTTTGAAACTCTCCCTTGTAATTCCAGCCTTTTATTTTTCTGACAAAACAATTCTTTTATGTATTTGTGAGACTGTCAGGTAGGCACTAGTTAAGTTTTGCGTCTGTTTTTCTTTTCGAAAGGTGAGAGTATAATAGCAAAGTTAGAGAGTGGTCATAAGATGCCTAATGTTGCTGGGAAGTATGGCATGAACAGGTCTATAGTAGGTCGCAGTTCAATCTTATTTAAGAAGCATACTGTATAATCAAGAAGACCCAAGCAGCTAAAGGAGTAACAAAAATCAACCTGAGAAATAAAGAACATTGAAGAGTTCATAATGGAACCTGAAACAGATCTGACGACAGAAGAACGCCAAGAACTCTTGAATGAAGAACACCAAGAAAGTCGGCGAGATATATTTTCTTCTGAAAAAGAGGATTAATGCCGATATCTGTTATTAAAGATCCTTTGAAGAAGTGGGAGGATGTTAGAACAACAGTCTTAGAATGACATCCAAACTAGGTTGAGGCTTGGGGATTTCTAAAATTGCAATGCTGTTAATTACTTATGAAAAATCCTGAAGAAGACAGAAAAACAATCAACATTACAGATTCTTTAACCCTTTCAAATGGAAAAACATGTTATTAATAAAAACAGAAGACTGTGTACATACTACATTTATTAAAAATACATAAGAAAGTATATATTTTTTATTTTTGGGGTTCTCCAGAATGAATTAATTAAATTCCCATTAAAACCTATGGTAAATTAATAATTGGTTAACGAACAATTCATATAGCGAACAAAGTCTTGGAACGGATTATGTTCGTTAACTGATCACCCACTGTATATTATAGTCACTTAATTACCATGACAATAATATAGCATGTCTATTTCACACTATACTATTACTGCAACAGCACATAGTACTTGCCTGGGTGGAATGGAAAGTAGTAACACCAAAATAGGGTACAGCTTCCTATAAAAATCTTCCTGGGATGCATCCCCTTGGCAGATATGGCAATGTGACACGTGAGATAACTAAATAAACCAAACTAATTCTAACGAGTAATTATGTATTGTAACATCGTCACAATGTTCTCAATTCTTTTAGTGATGGTCTTGCCCCTGTATGTCATACTTTTCCTATTAACAACAGAGTTGTGTCAGTCATCTATCTAACTCTGATCAGGGGAAATTTTGAATTGAAGTAATGTTATTTCAGTTCCAAATGGAAGTTCCTATATAGTTAATCTGGGCCTCCTGCCCTAAGCTTTCCACATCTGTTCTCAACTTTCATCTGTCTATCCTTTCTTGAGATTAAGGAAGGACAGTCAGAGGGAGGACAGTGGAAATTTATAGGTCTACAATTTTTTCAAATTGCAATCCAATAATTTTTCTATAGACTCAATATTTACGAGAACATACTTAATACAATCTGTCGTCACAATTTAAACACTTTATTATCACATAAAAGCAATTATTTTATCATTTTTCTATGACTTGTTTAAATAAAAAAGCTTGTAGTCTTTCAGACATTAACGTTAGCAGTTCAATCATGTGTGGGGCCATCACAACCTGTCTAACATGGATCAATTTTCAAATATTAATAGTAAACCAGTATTAATTAGTAGTCATTGAGCATCCTCTCTTCTGGGAGAAGGTCAACTATTGCTTTTAGTCAAATTATTTCAATTCCTTTCCACAACAGTTCCTTCTTCCTATTGGACTAGCAGTATGATGGTATTCAAATAGGAAAATTACATAATATGAGGTTACCGCAAGCACAAAATAGGTTTTAAGTGGTTTTCAAAAGTGCCGAGTTTAAATATTTGGTCTGTTTTCTGTGAAATTTGATTCATTGGCAGATTACCATTTGATGTTCAGCTGTAAATGGTGCAGTTTCTAAGAGTTAACAGTAGAAAATGAGCAATTATTTATTGTGACAATGTCACAATGCTGGGCTGCAATTTTTAATCATATTTTTAATTTATTTAATTTAGAATATATACTCTCCACCTCAAATTAGTACTATAGTGTCTTGCTCCTGTACCTCATACTTTTCCTTTAACAATAGAGTCATGTTGGTCGTCTATCTAATTCCTTTCAGGGGAAGTTTTAAATTGAAATAACATAAATTCCAGTTTGCACCAGATCTTCATTTATAGTTAATTGGGGCCTCCTGTCCCTACCGTTTTTATTTTTAGTCTTGGTGTTCATGTATAACTCTATTCTCAAGATCAAGGAAAGACAGATGGATAGACAGTATGTTCTTTAAACAGAATGAATGTTTCTGAATTTAAAGAAAAGAATTTGGCTTCCATAACAAGTGATAACAGAAATATATGTTGACTACCATTCTTCTAGATCAAATTCATCATCTCTCCAATTTCAGTTCCAGTTGAATTCGCAAGTTGAGATCTTATGAATTCAACTGCAACTTTTCCACACTCAATATTTGACACTATAATTTTATTTTCAAAGATGTTCCATGGACCTTGAAATGAAAAGTGCTGTCTGACTGTAGACAATTTGAAGAGGTAGAATTTTACTTAAATTCCTTATTTGTCATTCTAAATTACATCATCCTATACATTGCAGTACTTCAATATGCCTCCCATGCTTTTCAACTTAAACCCAGGATTTCTTTTTAACAACATCTTTATTTCCCAGGGTTGATTCAAACAATGGGATTTATTTGAATCCCATTGTTTGAAGTTCAAAACCCAAAACAACATTTTAGCCTAAACTGCTGATATTTCAGACAATATCTAAACTAGGGATGGTGAATCTTTTTGAGTCTGCATGCCATATAGCATACAGACTCAAAAAGGTTCACCATAAAACTTTAGCAAAAGGTTTCTTTATGCTAAAGTTTTACACTCTCAATAACTATTTTTAAAAAAAACAAAGTAAATATACTTTTAGTTAGCATAAATTTTAAAAAGTTAATTGAGAAAAGCATTTTGTTTTTCTCAATTATCTTTTATATTAAATATTAAACTAAAAACATAAAATTTATTTTAATTTCAGTTTTTAATTATGGTTTTATTTACACAGTAAGAAGTAAACAAAATCTCATATGTTGCATGCAATATATTTTTTTGACAGGTCACTTTTGGCATGCATGTCATAGATTTGCCATTCCTGATCTAGTCTATCAAACTCAGAGGTTGACATCTCATTACAAATCAATCTTGTAACATAAAATTTTCTAAATTATTTAACTAAATTCAAAATTTCTAATTATTAATTTCATTTCAAAGTTGGTCCACCAGTGGCCAAGTGGTCTTTGTACCGTGAACACTGGGAGATCAGTTGTGGGTTCACACCTCACTCGGAAGGGCTGTCCATGTGGAGTTTTTCAAGTTTTCTTCACATTTGTAATGCCTAAATAGGGGCCAGTTTCCCTTAAAACATCTAGAAGGCATCCCCCTAAGCAGATCACCCACTTGTTGCATTGCTATAACTATATAAACAAACATTTCAAAGTTCTGTTTTATGCAGAATTTATACTCTAATTGTTTAAAACAACTTTTCAAAAAAAACTAAACCAGACATTTTTTCAGTTTTACAAATTTTCTCTTAAAGCTGACCTCTAGCAGCCAACAGCAGAATGATCTATGGACAAAATTGAAGCTCTACTTCCAATATGATATAGAAAATATAACTGGTCATATTTTTACTTAAATTTTTAAAATAAGTTGACTTATTAATGAAATTTATAATTTTTCCAAATTAATGGTAACCAATAGGAACCATTCTTTTTCCCTTCAGTATCCAGAAAATAGGAGCTAATTATAATTATGAATTATTTTGTAGAACCATGCACAAGTGAGATTCATAAATATATTAGATTACCTTTCTTAGCTTTATCCATCAACTTCTGTAGCATTTCCGAAAACTGTAATTGATTATTATTATTGGCATTCTGTAAAAAAAAATCACTAAATTCTGTAAAAAGTTTAATTATATTTAAATGTTTTAAAATTTTTTTGACAATATTTAATTTAATATCAATATATTTTAATTCTAACATTAAAGAATTTTAAATATAATTCTAAAATAATTTTTCTTTTCAGATTATAACAGATATTTGGAATTTTAATTGCACAAAACCAGTTTAATGATAAAAGCTGCTTTGTTATGATATTAAAGAAAAATAAAATGGGAGCTCTTGTATCTTATGTATTATCTTTATATTATGGGAAAAATGTACAGTTACAGTTTCCCCATGCTTTTGGTTTAAAGTATCCTCCTGTTTTGCATCAAACAATTACAGAAGAAAGCATAAAAAAATTTAATGAAGTTTTTGTTATTGGTGATGTGCATGGTTGTTATGATGAGATGATGGAACTGCTTCAAAATGCAAATGCACTACATGACAGTACATTAAAAATTTTTGTTGGCGATATAGTAAATAAAGGTCCAAAGAATCTTGAAGTGTTAACAACTCTTCGAACTATGACTTCTTCACTAATTGTTCGTGGAAATCATGNTAAAGGAAGTAAATCTAAACATCTGGAAAAATTTTGTAAATCATTATTATTTAAGAATTATTATAACTTTTGTTTTGAAAATACATTTATTAAATAATACCTCATTCTAAAATGAACTTGTTCAGTCTCTTCTAGAATTGTTGTCTTTTTGTCTGGTTTCTTTTGCTGTGCAAATGCCTTAGCTATTGCATCATCAAGTTTAAACATTTCTGAATCACTCATATAATGTTCAGAATCCTTAATAAAAAAATTTTTTAAATTTATAAAAATTTCAATAATTATTAAACAATAAATCATTTTTTAAATTAACTTTCATTACCAAATATATTATTGGTTGAATTTCAGAAATTATGATATTTTGAAAAATATATTTTTAGCATTTATGTTAACATCTATTACTTCAACTATTTAACTTTTAAACTAATTCTTTATATTACCAATTTTTCAGCATAATCTACATTTTATTTATAAATTATCAACTAATTATTGTCATTGAGAGAATAACAAATGTTTCCATTTTCTTAAATTGAATTTAATTTTTCTTTTATACCTAAAAAGTTTATATAAATTAAAAATATGTAAATATTAAAAATAACTTAAAGAATATATATATATTTTTAATATTTTAAGCTAGTTTTCTCAATATGCTTGACCTGACATGTATTGGTCTTGCGCCAGAATCAAACATCCATTAATTGCTATTATCTAAGCAAAAATGTCATAACCTTTCAGCAGTGGGATAGTCAGGTATGGTGCTACCCCAAAGTGGTGGAGAATAAACGTGGGAAATTTTTAAAGTATTTTTCCACGTGTTTTTTTTCTCATTACCATTTCGGAAAAAGATTTTGTAAACAGCTATGTCTAGTAAAGAAAAGTCTTTTTTTATTGTTACATAATTCATTTTTTATGTGAATTTTTTTGGCAATAGTTTTTGGCTAGTTTTGGCGATACCTTCAAAAGAACTTAACAGATATATCCGTATCTCACCACTGCCACATGATCGCCCTGGACAGATATATCTGTCCCTCACTGTTGAATGGTTAATCTAAGCTTAAAGATATTTTAAACAAAAATTGGCTTGAAAATTATTTATTGAGGGCTAATAGTCTTGTAAACAACACTATATTCTATTAACAAGTAGAAGTAAATGGGTATGCCCAACAGATAAACAAGACATCCAGTCATGATTTATCATGTCAAGAAGACTTCTTAACATAATAAGTAAAATGACTTTAGAGTCATTTTTGATAACATGGAAAAACTGTTAGATTATATGCAGACCTGTAAATTCACATCATCAAGATCAAAGTTTTAACACACAATCCATAGATAAGAAATTAAAATAATTTAGTTTTTAATTAATTAAAACATTTTCTAAATTCAAAACTTAATTGTAAATATATACAGATTTTCAACAAATTTTTTAAATTCAGTACCAGTAACATCAGTTGGTATCTTATATCCCACTTGCACTGAGCATTTCAATCTAGATTGTGATAAGATCGGCAACTGTACAGTGGTGCAACCTCTCTCGACCGTTTAAATCTCAACTGAAACAAGGTTCAATTGCAATTGACATGAGAGTTTTTGAAACTAGATCCAGTCATAAGAGAGTTCCCATAATCCCACATGTGCAAGAAACAAGATGGTAGTGGAACAAGTGTCGGGTTATCAACAGAGAAATAAAAAAAATGTTTGAAGAGACAATGAGATCTGGCTATCATTAGATGCATGGCAAGAAAAACTAGTCATTTGATTGTGGCATATCAGCAACACATCTTCATGTCTTATCATGTAGTTATGTCAGTTTTATCACCGTGTGCAACAGCTGGATTCTTCTCAAGTGGATGCAAACAGCTCAATGTTTGACTGGCGACAGTTTCAATTGAGATCGTGAGTAAATAGAGATTAAAGTGAGTCGTGGTTTGTGTGCAAACGCAGTATTATAATGTAGTAAAATAAAATTACATTTCTGATCTTAAAATCTAATAATTTTCATGTTGTGAGTAATTTATTCAATTATTATTCAAAAAACAAGAAAAAAACTGGAACCGGACAAACTTAAAAATTTGTTAATAATCATCCTAATACAGAATTAAGTCACTCACATCATTGACTTCATTTCCTAGTGCAGCTTGTAAACGACTACGTAAATCATTATTAACTTCAGTTTCATCATCATCATCATCCATTTCTTCATCACTCCCAGACTCAAAACTTAACTGTTCATCATCATCTAAAAAAGATTAAAAATTTTAACAATATGAGTGAATTATTTCTTGAAAATACCAAAACTAAATTATGATATTCTTGAGTTAGTTACTAGTAAACCACAAAAATGCTAGGCTAATAAACTGTTACTAACTTATTGAATAGCTTTACATGTTACATAATAATACAATCAAGCTCACATTAATATGAATCACTAGAGGAATAGTAGGTTGTTTGTTTTATTAAAAATTTGCACTAACAGTTTTCAGGTTTAAGGGTATATAATTTAGAGAGTTAAGGTTTAAACAAAATTCAATACAGTAGATCCCCCTATAAAACCGTTTCCTATAGTTATGATTCCTATAAAAATTGTGGCATTATCCGTAAACAACGGTAAAAATAACTCCTATAATACGTAAAACGTCATCGGGCAGCCGAACTACTTACCCGCCGTCCGTAGCGCCACGCTACGGAGAGATTTCTATCGTCTGGACAGTATTATATAAATTATATATAAATTAGGTACTGTACATATAATTATATATTAATTATATATAAATTAGGTACTGTATATATAATTATATATTAACTTAATTTATTGTAACTTTATTATAATTAAATATATATTTTTCGCCGTCTAGCGTCACGCTACGGCGAGTTAGGCGACCTATCGTCTGTCCAGTACTGTAATTTTATACATTTCTTGTGAAAGAAACATTTCTTATTTAACGGCCATAAAAATTATTTATATTAAGGATGTCTCCAAAGGTCAACGAAGTTTTCGCAGAAAAATAATATCAGAAATCGCGGCCGCGGTTTGATGCGCTGTTCCGCGACGAAACCAAGCTTTAGCAACGGGCGTAGTCGAACGGTACACACTCGGTAAGCAATCCTACAATTTTTTGTTTATAACGTAGTTTATACGGATTATTTTCAAAAAAATATACGTATTTTGGAAATGTTGAGTCGAATTACTCTAGAATCGATTAATTTTATGAAAGAAAACCTTTCAAACAGCCGTAGTCCATAAACTATGATTCCTACAAAATTGATTCATAAAGAACGGAACGTATCTACCGTCTTATAGGGGGATCTACTGTAAATGCTTTTTTTTTCATTTACTTCCTTTTAGTTGTATTATTCAACGAAAGATATGTCTGAAATGCATATTTCTACATGAAAAAAGTATTTCTCATTTGAGTGTGGCTTCAAAAAAAAAAAACTACTGCGTAAGTTGAATAATTTCATAAATGATACTTGATTATTTGCTTTGAAATAAAAGTTTCAAAATAGAACATGTACTGTATTTCCCCATAACTAAGAGCACACACTCATAATTTTCACATATAAGAGCATGCTCTTACATGTAAAAATTGCTTGTTTTTGTATTTTCAAAACATATTGCTTTGCTTATAAAATCATACCTCAAATGTAAACTATGAGCATGCTCTTACATGAAACAGCTTATTTTGGCTTATGAGCACTTTACTTCTGTGTCAATGTAAATGCACTAATACAATAACTATTCATTTAAATCTCTATGGTAACCAGAGTTTGTTATAGTACTTTGCAAAATATAATGCCAATTTTATTTGTAAGTGCATGCTTTTATAAATACGATACTATTTTGTGTTTCCAAATGACTGTCAGATTAAATTGGGCTATTTTCTCCAATTAATCCAGCATTTGTTTGGCTTTATTATGAATATTGGGCTTTCAGATGTTTATATATGTATTTTGTATTTTATTATCAAAATATACTATCATAATAAAGCTTAAATTACTAGATAACGGACAATTATTTATTGTGAGATTGTTACAATTCTGTTATAACATTGAAATCTAAATTATTAAATTAAAATTATGAAAGTAATGATAGAAGTTATTGACAATCAAACTGGGAACAATATTTTGGGACATCCTATATGTCTATTTTTTAACAAATGATGATGAAACAGTCCACTCTCTACTGTTTAGACATTTCCATTTTTACTGACTATATTTGTTTATATATGTTTGGTCAGGAGTGGCCAACAGTTTTTGCCCCTGGGCCGAATTGGAAAGAAAACTTTTTTCATGGGCCAAACCAGAGGCTGCCCTAGGAAAATTTTGAGGTGGTGCGAGATCTCATTATGGTGTCACCCTGTAGTGACTAAATTGTACATAGAGATTATAGATACATTTTTCACATTATCATGCTTTATCAACGTTCTATGC